GTCTGGTTCATATTTCTGTACCTCCCTTAATTAATTGTCAGATACAAAATAAAAACTTTACGCAATCAGATTGACCAACAGACGAACCTAATATTGGCTCACCATTACATGAAAAATCAGCAAGAAAACCTGTTTAATTTAATTTAATCAAAATCCTTCTGTCTGATTTCCCTTCCCGCCCCCCTCCACACAGCCCTGAAATAGTATTGTGTCTCTTGCAGTGGTATATACCTGTTTAAGTCCATCAGTAGCGGGGAAGGGCCGCGGTGGCTCAGAGGTTAAGATGCTCAGACCAGAAGGTCGGTGGTTCAGCAGTTCGAGACCCGAGTGCCATGTGATGGAGTGAGCTCCTGTCTCTGGCCCCAGCTCCTGCCAACCTAGCAGTTTGAAAGCAAGAAATTGCAAGTAGATAAATAGGCACTGCTTTGGTGGGAAGGTAACAGCGTTCTGTGAGCCTTGGTGTTTAGTCATGCCAGCCACATGACCACAGAAATGTCTTTGAACAGCGCTGGCTCTTTGGCTTGGAAACAGAGATGAGCACTGTCCCCTAGAGTTGGATTTGACTAGCTTTTGAGCAAAGGAAACCTTTACCTTTTTAGGCAGGAAAGAGTGGGCTCATCTCAGCTAGCCTACAGGGATCCCCTCTGTACATACAGAAAAGGGAAGATCATGCCCATAATTTGTGATTTTTCTTTTGTTCCACCTCTGAATCAATAGTGGGTGATGTGCCATAAAACCTTGAGTTGTGTTCCCTCTTTCTTTCAGGTACGAGAATTTCCAAAGACGACTAACTCAGAACCCTTTCTTTTGGAAAACATAATCTGTTTTCATGTTACTTGTTATAGATGTTATGTACGTTTCTTAGATGTATTGTATTTGGATAGGTTTATTGAACCATTCAAACTGTTTTTCTGTGCTATGTCTTTTATGCTTTCATATAAAATTAATAAAAAGTTATTGCAAAAGAAAACATAATCTGATGTCAGGTCGTTTCATGTGCTCTCTAAGACAAATTGCATCTTAAGGATCAAACAAAGTGAGCCTTTAAAGACCGACTGGATGGAATACTTGCAAGTCCAAGCCTATGGGAAAACACAGCTTCCGCAACATCTTTGGGACTTTGTTTAAAATTAAACCCCATCGAAAGTAGTCACTGTAGGTTGGGTGTGTTTTTTTCCCTGTTGCTGTTGAAAATGCTGAGCTGCAACGAGAACAAATCGATTATTTGGTACAGATAAAATGGTGACTTGTGCCATTGAGCCAAGGGAACCAACCAAGGGCAAGTGATGCTCTGTCTTCTTGGTGCTTGGGGGGGGGGGTCAACAGTGGGATGGCTTCTAATGTCCTGGCCCCACTGGTGGACCTCCTGATGGCACCTGGTATTTCTGGCCACTGTGTGATTGGATGGGCCTTTGGCCTGATCCAATATTGCTGTCTCTTATGTTCTTAAGGAAGCTCCCTCTCTGAGTCTTCTTTGATTCCTTCGGGTCTGACATATTATGCATACACAGTTTGCAAATAAATGTTTGTGAGAAGCCTGTGTCTTTTGTTTTTCCAAGTGTGGTGTTTTGATACTTTGACAAAAGTAATGAAATGCTGGGGAATTACACAACTTTAAGGCTGATAACGGAGAAGTTGAAACTGTTCAAGATTTTCTATTCCTTGGCTCCACCATGACCCTAAAGGGAGGGTGCAACCAAGAAATCAGAAGGAGACTGAAACTGGGAAGGGGAGCCACGAAGGCGCTAAAAAAGACTTGTAAGTGTACAGATGTGTTGCTGGCAACCAAGATAAAATTAATTCATGCCATAGCGTTCCCCGTTAGAAGAAGATTGGATTTATACCTCACCCTTCACTCGGAGTCTCAGAGCGGCTTACAAACGCCTTTCCCTTCCCCTCCCCACAGCAGACACCCTGTGAGGTAGGTGGGGCTGAGAGAGCTCTTTCCAGAACTGTTCTTGAGAGAACAGCTCTCAGAGAACTGTGGCTTGCCCAAGGTCACCCAGCAGCTGCAAGTGGAGGAGTGGGGAATCAAACCCGGTTCTCCCAGATTAGAGTCCGCGCACTTAACCACTACACCAAACTGGCTCTCTTTGTTAGCAACAAGATAATTTCAGAGGGGAGCTGCCTTGGTCTGCAGTAGGAGAGCTACCTTTGAGTCCAGTGGCATCTTTGAGACCAACAAGATTTTGGCGGTCGGAGCTTTCAAGAGTCAAAGCTCCCTGTCTGACGAAGGGCACTTTGACTCTCGAGCGCTTACACCCCAAAAATCTCATTGGTGTCGAAGGTGCAGCTGGACTCGAATGTAGCTCCCCCTAGCAGCAAGTACACCTCGGTGTCTGTGCATTTTCGCCAATTGTAACTTGGTGGTTTGTCTTCAAGGGCAGCTCCACACACAGTGCATTACAAGCCCTGTTCACGTGTTACAACATGTGCAAATACGTATACAGGATGTACCTCTGTTTTTAGAAAGCCAACACATGTTCACTTGAGGAATGAAACTCAGTACCTGGCTGAAATTGGGGTCACATGTTCGGCTTGACATGCGTTGAATATAACATGAGATCTACTCAGTGCACGTACAAAGAATTATCAAGTGTACATTGTACGTGGATGTACTTGCAGCCACAGAAACTTGTAAGCATGGCTACAGTATTCCATTGTAGGATTATTCTTCTACGGCACCGAGACATGGCCGTTGCCATGGAGGACACATACACCAACAAATGGAGATAGGCGGGCTATTTTTCACGCACAGACTAATATCCAGATAATTGAATGGCAGACACTTCTGCCCATCCAGTTGCAGTGTCCCGTTTGAAAGTGTTGAACTCTTCTCCACTGGAAGAAATTAGTTAAATCATAGCCATTCTTCTCTTTATGCAACCGTTACGCAATTGCAAGATGTGATAGTCCCAGGGTACACTGTGTTGGTCAGGCCACACCTGGAGTCTTGTGTGCAGTTCTGGAGGCCTCACTTGCAAAAGGGTGTAGACAGAATGGAGCGGGTGCAGAGGAGAGCGACCAGGATGACCTGGGGCCTGGAGACCAAGAAGCCCTAGGAGGAAAGGCTGAGGGGCTTGGGAATGGTCAGTCTGGAGAAGAGGAGGTGGACAGGACGGCTCTCTTGAAGTATCTGAAGGGCTGTCACTTAGAGGAGGAGAGCACGCAGCTGTTCCCGTTGGCAGCAGAGGAGAGGACTCGCAAGAATGGGTTTAAATTAAGGGCGGGAAGGTAGTGGATGGGTATTAAGAAAAAAATATTTTACAATAAGAGTAGCTCAGCAGTGGAATCAGCTGCCTGGGGAGGTGGTGAGCAATGTTCCCTCTAAGCTGTGGAGCCTTGTGAGCAAAAACTACTTTGTGAGCTACTGGCATTAAAGTTGTGAGTGAGCGATTTGGCTACTGCATAAATTAGTTTGCTCTGAAGCCCACCTTCCTGAGCAAAGACAAAAATCTGTGAGCAGGAGGCTAAAAAACTGTGAGCTAGCTCACACTAACTCAGCTTAGAGGGAACAGTGGACTGGTGAGCTCCCCCTTCCTGGCAGTCTGTAAGCAGCGGCTGGCCAAACACTTGTCAGGAAATGCTCTAGGCTAATGCTGCATTGAGCGGGGGGGGGTGGCCTGTCTGGCCCTCTCCAGCTCTGTGGTTCTAGGATTCTTTATGGGATCCATGGGCAGCGCCAATGCTTCAGAGAACGCCAAGGGATTACTAATAAGAGCTACTGTTAAGAATTCTTATTTTCAAGTTCTTTATTATTACTTAGTTATCTCACTTACGTGCCTCCCTCCGTCTCTTATTTATTAAATGCAGCGTTAAAGCAATTAACCTGTCAAATCAGGGCAGCCCCCCCCCCCCCTCTCTTCCGCAGGTTTTAAAAGAAAGGCATCGAACTGGCCTGCGCGATGATTGGCTCGGAGCCCCATCCCCATTTGCCGCGGCTCCTGCCAATCACTCACTATCTTTATCGCTTTTGCCCTTTCAACATCATGATAGCCAATGGGCTTCTAGCCTCCGAGGCATTCGCGCCTGGAGGGGCGGGGCGCTCCAATTATGACGTCTCCCCTAGCAACTGTGAGGTAGACCGGCGTCCTAGAGACGGCCCGCCCCCTCGTCTTCGCGGCCCCGCCCCTCCTGAGTCTTTGCTGTCTCAGTTCTCATTAATTGCTGCTTCCCTTCCCTTCCCTTCCGCTCCGTTTTGGGTACTGATGAAGTGGAGCAAATAGAGAGACAGAGAAGGCAATGGAGGAGCGTTTGCCGTGGCTCTGCTTGAAAGCCAAGTGAATGGTCAAGGGATGTGACAGGCAGCCCCACTCCTTGGCAGAGCCTCCCCGGAGCAGCGCAGTCTACCCGCGGAACGTTGGCTTTAGGCTTTGGCAAGGGGGAGGATGCGAAAATGCTGGACACCATCCACACTGCGATCCTAGAGTCGGGTGGCAAGAACCTGTTCTTTACACTCTCCAAGCTCTCTTCAGAGGGTAAGCCATCCCGGGCGGGTGTGGATAAGCCCTGCGGTGGGAAGAGGGTTGGAAATTCTGGGAGATTTGGAAGTGGAGCCTGGGGGAGAGCAGGGTTTGGGGAAGGGAACATCATGCCACAGTGTCCACCCCCTCCCCCCGAACTGCCATTTTTCTCCAGGGGAACTGATCTCTGTCCTCTGGAGATCAGGTGTGATTCCAGATCTCCAGGCCCCACCTGGAGGTTGGCAACTGTAGCTGGGAACGATGCACATAATTATTGTTGTTTAGCTATACGCATGGTACTTTAAAGAGTGTGTGTGTGTGTGGGGGGAGAGTTTTCTGCCCTAGGGGGATGGCAGGATACGTTTTTCACAAAAGGGAAGAAGTTGAGGGGGGGATTTGGAGGGAGAAAGGGGGCATGGTGTGGGTGTCCTGGGATGGAGTGGGGAGCAGTGAGGGAGAGTGGGTGAAGTCGTTTTAGGGAGCAGGGTGTCACAATAAGTCCCCATGAAGCATTGACACACACCCTGCCCGCCCAATGACTTCATATTTTTAAATGGAGTTTTCAAGTGTTCTTTTGCATTCCTTTTAGCCCTGAGCTGCTATTTAATTTCCCCCCTCATGATATAAGAATGACAGCTGTTCTCTCAGCACCAGGCAGGGCAGACTGCCAGGAAAGCAGCTCTAGGGTAACGTAACTTTCCTGGCAAGCACTGGCATACTTTCTGTGCCATCCTATTGTGTGTACGCAGGACAAACCTAGGCATCTCTGCTCAAAAGTAGGAACTGGCAATAGAGGGCAGTGATGTTCCAATGTGCCTCCTGGCGTTCTTTGTTTGAATCCCATATTCTCCCTGCCACACTTCCCTCACCGTGATCTTTCCCCTACCCTTGACATTCAGTTTGGAAGCTCCTTGGGGCAGGGACCTGCCTCCTTTTGCTCTGCAAAGTGACAGGCATGTCCATGTACATAACAAAGTTTGAGTCCAGTCACTGGACTTCACCTATCTGAATCTGAAGACGTGTGCATGCACACGAAAGCGGATACCCGGAACTATGTTCCCTCTAAGCTGTGGAGTCTTGTGAGCAAAAATTCTACTTTGTGAGCTGCTGGCATTAAAGTTGTGAGCAAGCAATTTGGCTACTTCATAAATTAGTTTGCTCTGGAGCCCTCCTTCCTGGGCTAAGACAAAAATGTGTGAGCCGGAGGCTAAAAAACGGTGAGCTAGCTCACACTAACTCAGCTTAGAGGGAACACTGAGAAATGGAATTAAGCCATTGGACTCAAACTTTGTTCTGCTGCTTCAGACCAACATGGCTACCCACCTGAATCTATCATTGAGGGGAGGCCCACCATAAGGATCGAGGGGAGGCCCACCATAAGGATCGGCAGGGAAATCCCACCTCCTCTTAGCTCATTGTGGGTTCTTATTGCTTACAGATGTTTTCCCGGCCCCCCTTCCCCAAAGGCAGCTACCAGGGCTGCTTTTAGTGTGGGGGGGAGGGGCTGGGTAAGGAGATCTTTAACCCTTTCCTCACCTGCTGTTTCTCTACTGAAAAATGCTACCCTTGAGTTGCTTGTACCCCCCCATCTGGTATTTCCCCTCTACCAAAGGGATAAGAACAGCACAGGAGGGGTGGTTTTCAGTAGGAAGATGTCTCCCCCCCCTCCCCCCGCACCATGTAGTTCTAGGGTTGCCAGCTCTGATTTGGGAAATCAGTGGGAATTTGGGGGGGGGGGGGTGGAACAGGAGGGCAGGGACCTTAGCAGGAGTATAATGCCATAGAGTCCACCTTCCAAAACAGTCATTTTCTCCAAGGGAACTGATCCAGTGCAGGTCCTGCTTCACCAAGCACGCCTCTGGAGTTGGTTCAACTCCCGCAAGAGCCCCGACATTCGCAGAGGGAACGTTTGCAAGCCAGCGTACCTTGAAGACTATGTCTGTTAAGGTGCTTTGGAACTTAGGGGTGTGTGTGTTATGTATTGGGATTGAATAATTCCTGATTGAATCACCCCAGAGACTGGCTGAGCTTGGAGCCCAAGAACAATAGCCTGCCAGGATTCTGAAAGTAACCAATCCAGTAGTAATGTTATGTAAATAGCCTATCACTGGGAGTGGGGTGTGTTTGGGTGTGGCAACTGCATGCTGTTTAACAGAGCTGAGGCTCTGGAGTCTTGTCTTGTGATGGCTAAAATCCCTAATAAAGTAGAACTGATCACTAGACTCAAGCCTGCTCCTCCATGGAACCCACTATTTAACACTGATGTAACCTACGGAACCTGCTCTTAGACATACACCCACCTTCTGTAAACTCGTTACTGGAGTCGCACCTGATCTCTTGCAAAGTTTACCTTGCTTATCTCACGTCCAGATCTTTGTTGTTTGAGCAGCTCAGCTTTTACAGTGTATCCATCTCACTTGCCTATAATATTGCTGTTCGGGGAATCTGCGTGAAAATAAGTCCATTTGGAAGGACCAGGTGCAATCTGGCTCCGCGGCAAAACTTTAAAAGTCTGTAAAATCAAATTTAAAAAATGATGCTGAGGTGGATCAACCCCATTTCCTAAAATATCAGTCCGGTATTGGATGCACGGGGAGCTATATATATATAGCTAGAGAGACGTTTCTGGTAACCGTTGGGCTATAGTTTCATCTCTTTTTACAGGAAGTGGGTGTTTATTTATTTGTTTGTTTGTTTCACTTTTACCCCGCCCTCCCCGCTAGGCAGGCTCAGTGTTCTATAATGTTCTATAATGCATGATTAACCCCCCCCCCCCGAATTCCTTTTCTGTTTCAGAGGTCTTTAGTATTTGGGACACCGTTTCTGAATTTGTTGAAAAGCAACTCTCCATGAATAAGGTGGGACTTCTTGTATATTCCATTCTTTGCATTCTTATTGATTTTAAAATCTTACCATACCTTCGAGGAGCTCAGGGAGGCAAATGTGGCCCTTCCCCAGTTTATCCTCCCAGGAAAAGTGACTGACTCAAGGTCACCCGTCGAGCTTCAGTGCACAGCAGAAATCTGAACTCAGTTTACCCGTTACACTGCGCTGGCTCTATCAGTTATTATGTGACTCAAACACTCAAGAATTCTCATAAAAGCCGCCACATTGCGCCCACCATTAAAAGGAAAGGCAAATAAGTCAAAAATTGTCGCTATGTTTTTTAAAAGGTATGTGCAAGTGAATCATATATATCATAAGTTTCTGTGAGCTGGAGCACCAAATACATCCGGTATACAGCCGCGGAAGATATAATTATGTAAAATTAAGTATGAATATAATAATAATAATCATCGTACAGCAGTGTATGTAGTATAGCCAGGAGATCCTAAGATTGTCTGGCAGCCAGAAGTTCTAGTTCTTGGATTTATGCACCACTAGGTGGTGAGCTCGACTTGTCTTTGAGGCAAGAGGCGTTTCAGAGGTTGGTTTGCCATAGTCTTCCTCTGAGTCACAACCCCGGTATTCCTTAGAAGTCGCCCATCCAAATACTAGCCAGGGCCGACCCTGCTTAGCTTCCAAGGTCTGACAAGATCAGACTAGCCTGGGCCATCCAGGTCAGGGCTATAAAAGTCCACATGGTCAAAGCAATGGTATTCCCAGTCGTCATGTATGGCTGCGAGAGTTGGACTATAAGGAAGGCCGAGCGCCAAAGAATAGATTCTTTAGAACTATGGTGCTGGAGAAGACTCTTGAGAGTCCCTTGGACTGCAAGAAGATCAAATCAGTCAATCCTAAAAGAAATCAACCCTGACTGTTCCCTGGAAGGCCAGATAATGAAACTGAAGCTCAGATACTTTGGCCACCCAATGAGAAGGGAGCCCTCACTGGAGAAGACCCTGATGCTGGGAAAGATTGAAGGTCAAAGAAGACGGGGACGGCAAAGGATGAGATGGTTAGACAGTGTCATAGATGCAACGAACATGAAGTTGAGCCAACTTCAGAGGACGGCGGAAGACAGGAGGGCCTGCCGTGATCTGGTCCATGGGGTCGCGAAGAGTCGGACTCGACTGTGCGACTGAACAACAACAAAAAATTCTTCATGCATCTGATGAAATGAGCTCTGACTGATGTCAGCCTCAGTGTTCTCTCTAAGCAGAGTTAGTGTGAGCTAGCTCACAGTATTTTAGCCTCTGGCTCGCACGTTTTTGTCTTAGCTCAGAGAGGAGCGCTTCAGAGCAGACTAATTTATGCAGCGGCCAATCGCTCGCTCACAACTTTGATGCTCTCCAGCTGACCAAGATCAGTTCCGCTGGAGAAAACAGCTGCTTTGGAAGGTGGAGTGTCTGGCATTATACCCCCGCTGAGGTCCCTCCCCTCCCCAAACCCCACCCTCCCCGGCTCCACTCCCAAAATCTCCTGGTACTTCCCAACCCAGAGCTGGTAACCAGGGCTTTTTTTGTAGAAAAAGCCCAGCAGGAACTCATTAGCATATTAGGCCACACCCTTGACAGCATAGCTCATTAGCATATTAGGCCACACCCCATGTTACCAGAAGTGTGGTCATCCAGCCACACCCACCTTTTGCTTCTTATTCTGCTTACCTTGTTTGTTGTCAAAACCCAGGGCTTTTTTTTGTAGCAGGAACTCCTTTGCATGTTAGGCCACACACCCCTAATGTAGCCAATCCTAATGAGTGTCTGCTGTTGGGTGTGGCCTATTATGCTAATGAGTTCCTGTTGGGCGTGGCCAACTCGGGAGCCAGCCGGAACTCCGTTCCTGTGCGTTCCTGCCCAAAAATAGCCCTGCTGGTAACCCTAAGTAGCAGGCAAGGGAAGGGGGCTCCCAGGCAGTCTCTGGCTAGGGTCCCCCAATACCTGGAACCAACCCTGCCTGTGCCACTGAGCTCTTATTTCATTTTGCTGCTTCAAGCTAACGTGATTCCCCATCTGGCATTATCAGAGAGCGCCACTTTGGTGTAGTAGTTAAGAACGTGGACTCTAATCTGGGAGAACCGTGTCTGACTCCCCACTCCTCCCCACGCAGCTGCTGGTGTGACCTTGAGTCAGTCACAAGTTCTCTCAGAGCTGTTCTTTCAAGAGCAGTCCTCGAAAGAGCTCTCTCAGCCCCGCCTACCTCACAAGGTGTCTGTTGTGGGGAGGGGAAGGGGAAGGAGATTGTAAGCCACTCTGAGACTCCGAGTGATGGGCAGGGTGAAAATCCAATCTCTTCTTCTCTCCTTCTTCATCGTCTTTTCCAGGGTGTTTCAATACCAGGGCTGGGCACATTCTCCTTCTTAAGGCAGAAGCTTGAAATCGGCGCCAACAAGCACATCCTCGTCCAGAGGCCAGTGTTCCTTCTGTCTGAGAAACTCGTCCAGATTCACGGACTGAAGCGTAACAAAGTACACATTCCCGGTAAGAAGTTTGGCTCTCCTCTCCGCCAACGTTTGGATGCCTGCAAGCTGTTAATTGCTAAGCAACCAACACCACGCCAGGACAAAGTTCTTCTCCGAGAGGCCAGTAGGGCTATGGCACGTTTGGTATGGAGGATGGCAGCAGAGCTGTGCGAAAGGCTGGACTGCCGAATAAAGACTGGTCTTTGGGAAGCTAGGCGGTGGGTGGAGGTGCTTTTAAAAGGAATCGTTTAAGAGAGGCTGAGGCGGCATTCAAAACACTCATGGTTTTTTCCATTATGACCTGAGTACTGCAAAATAAAATGGTCCTGATGATTTTCCTGGCTCAGCCATAAAAATGGTGTGACGAGCATGTACTGGCTAATGTCAGTGATGTCAACAACATCCACAAGTACAGACCTTTTGCAGCAAAAATCTGGAAGTACTTTAAAAAAAATTGGGGGGGGTATTTGTGTGTCTGTGCGTGCGTGTGTGTGCACCTGGAAGTCACGGTGACCTCTGGTGACTGACCCCTCCTGGGAGCACGGAGGATATTCAGAGAGGTGGCTGAATAAAGCCTGGCCCCGCCTCCTGGCTCTGGTATTCCAAGGAGGTCTCCCATCCAAGTACTTTCCAGAGTCGATCTGAGGCGATCGGGCTTGCCTGGGGCTATCCCGGTCAGGGCGTTTTAAAAAAATGTTTGTTGGATGGCAAGGCAGAGGGATAAAAACGAACCGATATCCATACATGTTTGACTTTTTAAAAAATCAGTCTGTTTGATACATGAGGAAAGGTCCAAGATGTGGAGCCCAAAAAAAGGAGAAGGTGGTGGGACTTCTAGTGGTGAACCAAAAGGACCCTGTATGAGAACGTTCTTGGTGAGATCTCTGTAAGGTGTTCCTATGAGGTCCTGCATCCCACACAAACCATTGTCAGACTCCTGAGTCAATCAGTTCCCAACAACGTTCATTCAAAGAAGTAAAGTTTATTGAGACATTGATACTTTTCAGGTATCTTATCTGTTTTGTGTTAGAACTAAAGAGAAAGCACGCGAAGCAAGCAGATATACATAACTCAAGGTGGTCCCCTGTAGCCAATCAGGCAGCCGGTAGAAGCCCGCCAAAGTAACGGGCAACAGTTCCCAGGAAAAAGAATGCACCAGGCACTCAAGGTCAGGCACCTAAGTTACAGAGACAATCAAACCAGTGAAGGCACAGCAGAAACGAAAGTAGGCAGTCATCCCCCCCCCACACTCTTATGGCAGCCAGGACTTGACAGAGGCCTAGCTGACAACCATTTCTCCTTGTCGTTTCTCTTCCCCCTCCCTCCCTCCCTCCCAATCAGGTGATATCCCAGTTGTGCGGCTGAATTTCATTGTGCTATCCCTGGAGGGCCCCTTTAACAGGGAGATCGTGGAAGGATGTGTCCGAGAGACCCTCTTGTTCTTCTCGCAGTCCATCGCCCACAAGCAGAACGTGGAGTTCACTTTCAAGGGGATCGGCGTCCTCATTATCCGGGACAACAAAGTGAAAATGAAATTCTACAAAGACTTCCTTCAGGCCATGGACGGGAGTGGGAACTTGCTAAAAGCACTTGCAAACGTAAGTTCGTACCTTCCCTTCTGGGTGCCTGTGAATAAATAGCATACGGTCTTTGCTGCTGACATAGAGAACATTTATGTACTGCGATAAGGTGAGCAAACCATTCCATTGTCTTCTTGCAAACCCAGAACAATCCTGTGGTGGTGGAAAGGGCCGCCAAGTGGCAGGCAACGTATGGCGACCCTGTAGGGGTTTTCGAGGCAAGAGACGAACAGAGGTGGTTTGCCATTGCTTGCGCCTCTGTGTAGTTAGAATCATAGAGTTGGAAGGGACCTCCAGGGTCATCTAGTCCAACCCCCATGGACGATGCAGGAAATTCACAAATACCTCCCTTTCCACACACCCAGTGACCCCTGTTCCATGTTCAGAATATGACCAACCCCCCCCCTTTCAGGATCTCCAGCCAAAAGGGCCACGAGAACTAAGCACGGAGGCAACCCTTCCTGCCCTCCCTTCTCGTGATCTGCCTAAATTCACAGGATCAGCATTGCTGTCAGATGGCCATCTGGCCTCTGCTTAGAGACCACCAAAGAAGGAGAGCCCACCACCTCCCTGAGAAAGCCTGTTGTCCCACTGAGGAACCAAACGCTCTAACTTTCAGAAAGTTCTTCCTGATGTTTAGCCAAAAACTCTTCCTCATTTAATTTCAACCCATTGGTTCTGGTCCGACCTTCTGGGGCAACAGAAAACAACTCCGCACCATCCTCTCTATGACAGCCCTTCAAGTACTTGAAGATGGTTATCATATCCCGTCTCAGTCATCTCCTCTCCAGGCTAAACATACCCAGCTCCTTCAACCTTTCCTCATAGGACTTGGTCTCAGACCTCTCACCATCTTCATTGCCCTCCTCTGGACACGTTCCAGCTTGTCTTTATCCTTCTTAACTTGTGGCGCCCAAAACAGAACACAATACTCTAGGTGAGGTCTCACCAGAGCAGAGTAAAGCGATACCATCACTTCCTGTGATCTGGGCACAACTGTTGGTCTCCCATCCAAACAATGGCCAGGCTGACCCTGCTTTGCTTCCAAGATCTGATGAGATCAGGCTTGCCTGGGATGTCCAGGTCAGAGCACAGCAATCCTGTATGGTGTCATTATTCCCGTATTGCAGATGGGGTGCTCTTGCAAGCAGGAGTCTCGGGTGGCAATCAGGTGGCGGAGCCCTAAACTGGTTGAAAGGGAGTCCTGCTTCAGGCTGCTGCTGGAGGTTCACACTTTGGAATTTTGCTCTACATGTTTAAAATCTCCTTGCAGATAGAAAACTCACAAAAAGGAACGGGTGGAGGGTAGAACATTTCTTCCTGTTGTTTTTTTTAAGTGGTATGGAGGGTTCCCCCCCCCCCATGCTAAAAGAATACGCAAAACTGGAATCTATCTCCTGCACAATATGTTCCTCAGCAGAGTCACACCCTTCTAGGTCCATATGATTTTATGATTTCAGTGGATTGGGGCTGCGGTGGCTCAGTGGTTAAGATGCTGAACTGCAGACCAGAAGGTCGGTAGTTCAGCAGTTCGAGACCCGAGTGCCACGTGACGGAGTGAGCTCCCGTCTCTGACCCCAGCTCCTGCCAGCCTAGCAGTTCAAAAGCAAGAAATGGCAAGTAGATAAATAGGTACCGCTTCAGTGGGAAGGTAACAGTGTTCCGTGTGCCTCGGCGTCTAGTCATGCCAGCCACATGACCACGGAAATGTCTTTGGACAGTGCTGGCTCTTTGGTTTGGAAACGGAGATCAGCACCACACCTCTAGAGTCAGATTCAACTGGCTTTCAAGCAAGAGAAACCTTTACCTTTTAAGGACTGCAGTGGCCGTCTGAACTGGTTGGTCCACTTTGTTCTCCTGCGTGTGTGAATCTGTCTGAAGGCTGAGACATAGCTTGCTAAGCCTCAAGCTATCTAACAAGCCTCTGGCAGAGCTGAGACTTTTTGCTCAGCCTTTTAAGCTGAGAGCCAGTTTGGTGTAGTGGTTAAGAGCAGTGGACTCAAATCTGGGAGAACTGGGCTTGATTCCCCACTCGTCCACATGCAGCTGCTGGGTGACCTTGGGTCAGTCACAAGTTCTTTCAGAGCTGTACTCTCAAGAGCAGTTCTCAGTCAGAGCTCTCTCAGGCCCACCTGCCTCACAGGGTGTCTGTTGTGGGGAGAGGAAGGGAAAGGAGATTGTAAGCCGCTCTGAGACTCTGAGTGAAAGGCAGGGTATGAATCCAACTCCTCCTTTTCCTCCTTCCTTTTCTTCCTCCTCCTCCTCTCCAGATGAGCCAAATAGCCAGAGCTCATCAGAACTTGGACGCTAAGCAGGGTCCGCAATGGTTGGTACTTGGGTGGGAGACCACCAAGGAAGATCAGGTTTGCTATGCGGAGGAAGACAAGGGCAAACCACCAGTCCTTGTCTCTTGCCTGGAACGCCCTGTGGATGGGAGTCTCTGTGAGTCAGGTGCGGCTCGGGGGGGGACGGACGTTCTTCTTCTTTTCAAGCTGTGGTGCGCTTGAATGCATAGAGCTCCCTTATTCAGAGTCTTATCAAGGTCAGATGATCTACTCTGATTTGTGACGGCTCTCAGTTAAAGGTCTTTTACATGGCTGTCTACCTGATCCTGTTAATTAGAGATGCTGGCGACTGAACCGTCTGAGTCCTTCGCGCAGAGCACGTGCTCTACCGTTGAGCCACGGCGCTTCCCCTAAGACCCGTTGCACCGTGAAGTCAAAGATGTGCCTTCATTTCACTGAGCGTGTTTTGGTTTAGTTATGATTGGGGAGGAGGACTAAGATTACGCTAAAGGTATCACAGAAAAGGTGGACTTTCAGGACGGTTTATGAGGAAGCGAGTGAAGTGAGGCGCTCTGGGAGAGTCCCAGAGGTAAAGGGCAGTAAGAAGAAGAAGAGATTGGATTTACTATTTCACTACCCAAAGGAGTCTCAGAGCGGCTTACAAACTCCCTTTCCCTTCCCCTCCCCACAACAGACACCCTGTGAGGTAAAAGAAGAAGAAGAGATTGGATTTACTATTTCACTACCCAAAGGAGTCTCAGAGTGGCTTACAAACTCCCTTCCCCTTCCCCTCCCCATAACAGACACCTTCTGAGGTAGGCGGGGCTGAGAGAGCTCTTGACAGAAACTGCTCTTTTTCAAGGACAGCTCTTATCAGAACTACAGCTTGCCCAAGGTCACATCACCAGCTACAAGTGGAGGAGTGGTTCTCCCAGATTAACCACTACACCAAACTGGAGAATAGGTAGAGTGTTTGAGGGAAGCAAGAGACCCTTGCGCTGCTGAAGACGATGAAGATGAAGGGCGGGAGATCATGGGCAAGGAGTGTCCTGAGATATGAGGTAAGAAGAGAGTAAGGTTAATGTGGATCCCATCAAGGTTAATTTACTCTGGTATCCTGTTGAAAAGTATGCAGACGGAGAGTGATTTCAGCAAAGCGTACTTTATTCGATCAGGAACAAGACGACTTTGGCCGGCTCGCAGGCCGGCTTATATTTCCCGAGAAACCGCCACCCAAAACACACCCACACTTCCCAATAGGTTATTTACAGTGGCCGAGAGTCCCATAGGCTCTCAGCCGGGAACCTAGCCCCCTGATTGGAGCGGGCTAGGATCCGCATAGTCCATTGTCTCTTGGAGCGAAGCTCGACGTTTGTGCCTGACCGCGTGGAGCCCAAGCCAGCCACGCGGTCTGGACTGGATACATTACACCTGTTTCACTTGGTGGCGGACCAGATTATTTATTAGATCTATTAAAACATTTGTACCCCACCCTTCCTCGTGGTTCAAGGAGGGGTTGCCAGTTCCAGGTTGGGAAATGCCTGTGGACTTTGGGGATGGAGTCTAGGAATGGTGGAGTGTGGGGAGGGGAGGGACCAGGGACTTATTAACCCATGGCTGAGCCCCCCTAGGTTATGAGGTATTTCAGGCCCCTCCGGCACTTTCAGTCTTCCACCCCACTACAGTTGACAGCCTGATTCTGGTACGGTAGGTAGTAGACCACAGTACATAGCCCTGTCTCCATGTTGAGGGCCTCCTGAAGAATTCGGTTCACAATTTTTTAATATATTTCTTTTTTTATATATAAAGTTTTTATTTTTTGTTATAAACATTCTTTACATTCCACCTACACATTTATCCATACGTTAGAGTCATTATCCATCAACTAAGTTTTCTATCCATACATACACCTTTAACCATCTTTTATCATGTACCTTTTCATTCATTCAAAACAAAACAAAACAATTTTTTTAGAATATATTTCTTGATTGCACGAGTAGAACTCTTTGGGAGGTAAGGTAAAGGTAAAGGTTTCCCTTGCTCGAAAGCCAGTCGAGTCCGACTCTAGGGATGCTGTGCTCATCTCCGTTCCCAAGCCGAAGAGCCAGCGCTGTCCGAAGACGTTTCCGTGGTCATGTGGCCGGCATGACTAGACGCCGAGGCGCACGGAACGCTGTTCCCTTCCCACTGAAGCGGTACCTATTTATCTACTTGCAGTTTCTTGCTTTCAAAACTGCTAGGTTGGCAGGAGCTGGGACCAACTGCAGTTCAGCGTCTTAACCACTTGGGGGTACAATACTGTAATATTTTGAAGTGAATAATATTTTTATTATTTATTAAAATATATCTAATGTATGAATAATTGTTTTAATATAAGGGACAATTTGTTTCACTGCAATAAGGAAGCCGTTAATTATGGATAGAGGTTATATATTGCAGGCTGTCTATGAAGAGAACATAACAGTGCCTCAGCAAAAAAAACTGATCGGCCCCCTAGTCCCTGCAGGGCCACTAGGCTTCAGCCTAGTCAGCCTTATGGATAATACAGACCTGGGAGGAACTTCAATGGGATATAATGCCATAGAGTCCACCTAGAGCCGATGTGGTGTAGTCAGGGCCGGCTCGAGGTGTTTCTGCACCCTAGGCGAGGCTGCCTTGTGGCGCAGATGCCAACCTCCCAGTGGGGCCTGGAGACCTCTGGAGCCAGCCACCCTTTTGCTGCCGCCACCACCACCTCCTCCCCACCGCTACCACTGAAGGGGGGGAAGGGAGGGAGGCGTGCCTCTCTTTGGCCAAGCCCGCGGCAGGACCCACTCCTCCGCTCCTGCGGCCCCTGGCCTCCTCCTTGGGGGGTGAGGGAAGAAGAAAAAGAAGAGGGCGGGGGGGAGGCACAGCTCAGTGCCCCATCCAGGGCCTGCCGCCCCATCCAAGGACCGACGCTCTAGGCAAATGCCTAGTTTGCCTAGTGGGTGAGCCGGCCCTGGGTGTAGTGGTTAAGAGTGGTGGACTCTAATCTAGAGAACCGGCTTTGATTCCCCACTCCTCCACATGAAGACAACTGGGTGACCTTGGGTCAGTCACAAGTTCTTTCAGAGCTGTTCTTTCAAGATCAGTTCTCTCAGAGCTCTCTCAGCCCCACTCACCTCACAGGGTGTCTGTTGTGGGGAGAGGAAGGGAAGACGATTGTAAGCTGCTCTGAGACTCCTTTGGGTAGAGAAGAACGAGGTATAAAAACATCAATTATTCTTCTTCCTCTTCCTCCTCTTCCTAATTGGCTGTTTTCTCCAAGTGAACTGATCTCTGCCTTCTGGAGATCAGTTGTAACCCTAGGAGATCTCCAGTCATCACCTGGAGATTGGCAACCTTAGGTTTAAGGTGGCTGCTTTCAAATAGTCCTGGAAAACCTACAAGAAAAGCATGGAGGCCAAAGCCTCTTTTTGCTCAACTCCTGGCATTCAGAGGTACACTGCCTCTGATTACGGAGGTGCCATTTTGCCATCCTGGATAATGGCCACTAATGGACCTCTCCTCCATTAATTTGTCAAATCCCCCTCTAAAGGCATCTAAACTACTAGCCATCCTTGCGGCAGTGAATACAATAAGTTAATATGCATTCGGTGACTTTTCTCCCCCTCCATCTAGAGGCCAGGGACTGGAGATTCAGTGTTGTCAAGCAAGGAAACCACAGCTACACTTTCCCGAAACGTTGTCTTGTTTCCAAGGTGAGTGTATTCATCCAAACTGTTTACTGATTCTGCTTGTCTCTCTCACTTGGTGGCTGAGAAACAGGCAAGCTCTAACAGACAGTCCTTGGGCATTTAGAAAGGACGGCTGTGATTACTAAGAGCCAGCATGGGTTTCTCAAGAACAAGTCATGTCAGACTAAACTTATCTATTTTTTTTTTTTGGAGAAAGTTACTACCTTGCTGGATCAGGAGAATGCTGTAGACATAGTTTATCTTGATCTCAGTAAGGCTTTTGGTAAGGTTCCACATAATACTCTTGTTGACAAATTGGTAAAATGTGGTTTGGATGGTATGACTATTAGGTGGATCTGTAACTAGTTGACAGATCGCACCCAAAGAGTGCTTGTGAATTGTTCCTCATCCTCTTGGAGAGGAATGACAAGTGGAGCGCCTCAAGGATCTGTCCTGAGACCTATTTTGTTCAACATTTTTATCAATGATTTGGATGAAGGAATAAAGGGAATGTGCATTAAATTTGCAGATGACATTAAACTCGGAGGGGTAGCAAATACGGTAGAAGACAGAGTCAGGATACAGGATGATCTTGACAGGCTGGAAAACTGGGCTAAAATGAATTTCTATGGGGATAAATGTAAAGTTCTGCATTTAGGTAGGAAAAATCAAATGCATAATTATAGGTTGGGGGAGACTTGTCTTGGCTGTAGTATGTGCAAAAAGGATTTAGGGGTCTTAGTAGACCATACACTGAACATGAATCAGCAGTGTGATGCGGTAGTTAAGTAGGCAAATGCAATTTTGGGCTGTATCAAGAGAAGTATAGTGTCCACATCATGCGAAGTGATGGTATCGCTTTACTCTGCGTGGGTTAGACCTCACCTAGAGTATTGTGTTCCGTTTTGGGCACCACCATTTAAGAAGGATAAGGACAAGCTGGAACATGTCCAGAAGAGGGTAATGAAGATGGTGAGGGGTCTGGAGACCGTCCTGTGAGGAAAAGGTTGAAGGAGCTGGGTATGTTTAGCCTGGAGAGGAGACGACTGAGAGGTGAAATGATAACCACCTTCAAGTACTTGAAGGGCTGCCATGTAGAGGAAGGTGCAGAGTTGTTTTCTGTTGCCCCAGAAGGTTGGACCAGAACCAACGGGCTGAAATTAAATCAGAAGAGTTTTCGGCTAAACATTAGGAAGAACTTCCTGACATTTAGAGTGGTTCCTCAGTGGAACAGGCTTCCACGGGAGGTGGTGGGCCCTCCTTCTTTGGAGGTTTTCAAACAGAGGCTAGCTGGCCATCTGACAGCGATGCTGATTGTGCAAACCTAGGCAGATCATGAGAAGGGAGGGCAGGAAGGGTTGCTTCAGTGCTTAGTTCTTGTGACCCTTCTCTTACACTCAGGGAAATGCTGATCACCACTTTGGGGTCAGGAAGCAATTTTTCTCCAGGCCAGTTTAGCTGGAGATCCTCAAGGGTTGTTTTTTTTTTTTGGTGTCATCTTCTGAGCATGGAGCAGGGGTCACTGGGGGTCTGCGGGGGAAGGTATTTGTGAATTTCCTGCATTGTGCAGGGGGTTGGACTAGATGACCCTGGAGGTTCCTTCCTCCCCTCCCCAAACCCCATCCTCCGCAGGCCGCAGCCCCAAAATCTACAGGTATTTCCCAACCTGGAGCTGGCAACTCTAGTATCAGGCAAGCCACAAGGGGGAGGGCATGCCAAAGGCAAGGGGCCACCACAGAAAATGCCCTGTCTCTAGTCACCCCCACCTGCCTCACCTCTGAAGGCAGGCACACAGAGAACAGGGGCTGGAGAAGCAGATCTTCGCCTGCGGGGCTGAATAGCAATGCTCCCTCTAAGCTGTGGAGTCTTGTGAGCAAAAATTCTACTTTGTGAGCTCCTGGTATTAAAGCCGTGAGAGAGCGATTTGGCCACTGTAGTGTGGGTGCAGGGTTCACGCGATGCAAAGACGACAGGACACAAGTCTGCAGGAACTGTCTGAAACCTCTCGGCTTCCCAACGTTTATTTATAAGCTCAGTTTTCTCCCATTCCCCCCTCCTCTCTCCCTCCTTCTCCCTGCGTAAGGGAAAGTTACGAGCATTCTAGCATCCTTTTGGAATGTGTGTGTGTGTACAGGCTCTCTGTTATCTGTCTGTCCCCCTCTCTCAAGGCCAAACCGACTGCGTCATTTAGGCAGTCACCAGACTTCTACGCACAGACTTACAAGTTCCCAATTTCCAGGCAGGAGAACAGTGGATCCATCTGCACTGCTCTCCTACAGGCCACTGCATGAATCAGTTTGCTGTGGATCCTGAGCTAAGGGAAAAACGTGTGAGCCAGAGGTTAAAAAACTGAGCTAGCTCACACTAACTCACCTTAGAGGGAACACTGGAGGAGACAGTCCTGAAGCTCTTCAGGGCCCTAAAGGCAATAGCCAGCACTCTGAATTGTGCCTAGTGCAGATCTCCCAGCACATGGATGATGCCATCCTAAATAACCAATCCCTGTCAGTAGCCTGGGAGCCGTATTGTGGACCCATGGAAGTTCCCAAGCCATTTTCAAAGGCAGCTTCACAAAACGGGCCCCACTGTCTTGAGCAGGGGTGTCAAACATGTGGCCCGGGGGCCAGATGAAGCCCTTGGAGGGCTTCTATCAGGCCTGCCGTCGTCTTCTTCTTCTTCTTCAAGTTCTGCTGCTGCTGCGTCATCGTAGGTTTGCAGCTTACAGATACACACTTGAACAGCATACTCAAGATTGCAACAGCACAGACATTTTGATGCAATCATCCAGAGCATTAGGTGTCAGTTATCAGACACTGTTAAATAAACAAAATATTGCAAGAGTGCTAATGTTTTAAGCATGTTTTTAGTTTAAGTAAAAAAATCCCCTTTGTGTTTGTGTCCTTTATAAAGTTTATATCTCTGCTACCTGGCATTACATTTTATGACACACATGGCCCGGCCCAAGAAGGTCTCATCTATATCAGATCTGGCCCTCATAACAAATGAGTTCGACACCCCTGGTCTTGAGCATTGTGCCAAAGGTCCCTCACTGTTTCTTTCACTTATTTGTGGCTGGCAGGATGGAGATGAAGGACATGGAAACGATTGCCGAAGAAGATGAGAAGTCCAGCAAAGAGAAGGAGCAGTCGGAAAAGGAGAACAGCAAAAAAGGTAACGCAGAAGTTGTGTTTTTGTAAGCTGCTTCCCCCCCAAAAAAAAATATTTATTTTTTATAGAGACTGGTAATACAATAACTTTAAAAACAGCCAAGGGAAAAGTGCAGCGTGAGACAACACAACAATATTACAGCTACAGAGAATCTAGAAATATATGCCTTAGAAGCTAAAAACTTTTTTAAAAATAAAATTATTGTTGTGTCCGCTGACCGCCACCAGAGGCCAGCGAACAATCCAGAACTTGAATCCGGAGTAACAATGGGGACTAGGCTCCTGGTCTCTCCACTGGGGGACCAATGGGACCGTGGCGGGAGATTTAAACCCACCAACGGGACCTAGGGGTGTGTCCCCAGGTATGTATACAGTTGGCCAGCCGGCCGTTTGTCTTTGTCTTTGTTGTGTACCAGTAAACCATGCTGATCACTACATCGGTCTCCGTGGTTTCTTCTTGCGTTTAACCCACTACACTTTAATTATATTAACCAAGATCAGAAGGTGGAATGGCGCAACGCAAAGTAAAATCTTTGGAGCCACCGGGGTGAAGCCTGAAGCAAGAACATTAACAAATCATGTTAAGCGCTAAACACTAAAAAAAAAATAATAATTTGAATTAAATTAACCCAAATCAGAAGGTGAAATGAGCCATTGCAGTGTAAAATCCTTGGGGCCACCAGGGTCAAGCCTGCGGCAAGAACATTAATGGATCATAACAGCAGCAGACTGAAGGGTCTGAAAGCCCTAGGGACAATTTCGCTCAGGGCAAGATAGTGTGTGAGCTTCTTGATGGCAGTTTAATCGGGCGCCAGGAGCCGCTCCGGGCTCGCAGAAGCTCCCAGGCACTGCTGCCACCACCGCCGGGCTGTGAGGTGGGTGGTGGGGCTGGAGCCACGTCAGGCTTGGCAGTGTGGGGAGAGGTGGGATCCCCCCCGCCCACGAGTCTCACAGTCCCCCCCCCACTTCTTAAAACTGATTTTCAGACTGCAGAGATCAGTTCCCCTGGAGAAAATGGCTGCTTTGGAAGGCGGAGTCTACGGTGTTATACCCGGCTGAGGCCCCTCCCCTCCCCATACCCCGCCCTCCCCAGGCTCCACCCCCAAAACCTCAGGTATTCCCCAGCCCAGAGCTGGCAACTCTACCTCCCCCTCCCCACGGAGTCCAGGAAACAACCAGATCAAAACAGAACTAACACATGGTGTGTCCCCTGGTTTCCAAGTACGACTAGTGGTATGGTGCTAGCCGCATATTTTCATAGTTTAATCTGTTAATGTTAATATTTTATATTTGTTTTTTTTTCTTATGTTGTTTTTATGGTTTTAATGTTGTAAGAAGGGAGCTGCGGTGGCTCAAGTGGTTAAGACGCTGAACTGCAGGCTGTGAAAGGTCGGTAGTTCAGCAGTTCGAGACCCGGGTGCCGCATGATGGAGTGAGCTCCCATCTCTAGGCCCAGCTCCTGCCAACCTAGCAGTTCGAAAGCAAGAAATTGCAAGTAGATAAATAGGTACCACTTCGGTGGGAAGGTAACAGCATTCCGTGTGCCTTGGTGTTTAGTCATGCCGGCCACATGACCACGGAAACGTCTTCGGACAGTGCTGGCTCTTCGGCTTGGAAACGGAGATGAGCACCGCAACCCTAGAGTCGGATTCGACTGGCTTTCGAGCAAGGGTTTATAAGATTATGCATGGGAAAGAGCAGGTAGAGAAAGAAGTACTTTTCTCCCTTTCTCACAATACAAGAACTCGCGGTCAGGTCAGAACGGATAAAAGGAAGTACTTCTTCACCCAAAGAGTGATTAACACATGGAATTCACTGCCACAGGAAGTGGTGGCGGCTACAAGCATGGACGGCTTCAAAAGGGAATTAGATAAGCACAAGGGGGCGGGACCCGCGATACTCACGGGGGGGAGGGACCTCCACACATGAGGCAGAGGAGGAAGGAGCAGGAGGAGGTAAGTCCCCCCCATCCTGCTGTGTCCTCCCCCGTATACCTAATGTTGTAAGTCGCTGCAAGACCCTTTCAATGAGTGGCAACTAATTTTTTTTTTAATAAACAAATAAGTAAGTGCTGGTTTAGAGCATCTAGTACTGGCTAGACCTACTGTCTTTCTCATTTGCTTTTGCCCTGAGGAATTCTCACAAAAACCTCTGCTCTCATTTGTACAGAAAACCTTTCGCCGAAGCGTCTTCTCTGCCGCCAGTCCATGTCCCCGGCCAAAGTGACGGGGGTCTGTTTGACGGAAGAGCTTGAGAAGAACTTTGGCAAAGCACCCCCTCCGAGGTGAGATCGTGTTTTTGGGGGCTTCTGTAAACGTTTCCCTGGTCTGACCCCAACTGATTCACCTCAGGCCTTCAGGAGGCAACGGAGAGCTTCATTTTACCTCACGGTGTACTCGCCTAGGTGTAAGGATGCCACAGGAGCATTCTCTGGCCCTTGCGGCTTAGTTGCAGCAGCTGTGACACTCTTCCATCCCGAATGAATCTTGAAACACCCAGGGCTATTTTGGGGCAGGAACGCACAGGAACGGAGTTCCGTCTGGCTCCCAAGTTGGCCACGCCCAGCAGGAACTCATTAACAAAATAGGCCACACCCAACAGCAGAAACTCATTAGGATTGGCTACATTAGGTGTGTGTGGCCTAACATGCAAAGGAGTTCCAGAATAACAAGCAGAAGGTGGGTGTGGCTGGATAACCACACTTCTGGTAACATGGGGGTGCGGTCTAATGTGCTAATGAGCTGTGCTGTCAGGGGTGTGGCCCAATATGCTAATGAGTTCCTGCTGTTGGGTGTGGCCTATTATGCTAATGAGTTCCTGCTGGGCTTTTTCTACAAAAAGAGCCCTGGAAACACCACATCTGAGCAGGACTGAGGCCCCAATCCCCTGTGCTAATGTAGACCCACTACTTCACACCCGTAGTCGGTGGGAGTGGAACTAGGCAGAATCAGTGCTGCTGTGCCCCCCTGACAGCTTAATGAACTGTTGGGCCCCGTTCATTGTGGTGCAGCTGACACATCTTTGAAGGCCACACAAGGAAGAAGAAGAAGAAGAGACGAAGAAGAAGATTGGAGGAGATCAGATTTATACCCCGCCCTTCACTACCCAAAGGAGTCTCAGAGCGGCTTACAATCTCCTTCCCCTTCCCCTCCCCGCAACAGACCCTCTGTGGGGGAGGTGGGGCTGAGAGAGATCTCCCGAGAACTGCTCTTGAGAGAACAGCTCTGAGAGAACTTGTAACTGACCCAAGGTCACACCAGCAACTGCATGTGAAGGAGTGGGGAATCAAACCCAGTTCTCCCAGATTAGAGTCTGTGCTCCTAACCGCTACACCAAACTGGCTTACATTTTTGGCTTACTCATGATTCTGACTCTACGTGTGCTGAGATAAAAGGAAAGGAAAGTTCTAGGGATGCAGTTACGGAGGAGCCTCAGTAGGAGGTACGGTTGCCAACCTCCAGGTAGTGGCTGGAGATCTTCTGGAATTGCAACTGATCTCCAGAAGACAGAGATCAGTTCACCTTGAGAAAACGGCTGCTTTGGAAGGTGGACTCTATGGCATTATATACCCCATTAAAGCCCCTCCCCTCCCCAAACCCCGCCCTCCTCAAGCCTCACCCCCCAAATCTCCATGTATTTCCCAGTTCAGAGCTGGCAACTCTAGTTGGGAAACCAGGTGTCAAGGAAGTCAACGGGCTGACTCCGTGAGTCCCCAGGGCAAGAGCACTCAAGTAACCAGACAGATGTTGCTAAAAATAATGATAAAGTTTATTGGAAGAATAGACAAATTAATATGATTATAGCTGACAGGTTACCAAAAGTCAGTTTGGTGTAGTGGTTAGGAGCGCGGACTCTAATCTGGGAGAACCGGGTTTGAGTCCCCACTCCTTCACATGCAGCTGCTGGGTGACCTTGGGCAAGTCACAGTTTTCTCAGAGCTGTTCTCTCAAGAGCAGTTCTCTCAGAGCTCTCTCAGCCCCACCTACCTTATAGGGTGTCTGTTGTGAGGAGAGGAAGGGGGGGAGATTGTAAGCCCCTCTGAGTGAAGGGCAGGGTATAAATCAACTCCTCCTCCTCCTTCCCATTCAGAAGGTTGGAGGGGTGTTGTAAAGGATGCAGAGGTGCAGTGCATTTGGAGCACTTTATTGGAGCCAAGGGGAAATGCTTTGGGGCAGAAAATTAGCATCTTTAGTGAGATAAGAATCCTACGTCCCTATTCAGTCCTGGGTGGTTCATTGTTCTAAACTTCATAATCTCCCCTTGCAGCTTCTCTGTTCGAGAAGTCCTTAGGTCAGCAATGGAGTGACCTGGAAGATTACAATGTCCCCCCACTGTATTTTTCAGTGCTGTGGTTTTTAAAGTCAAATTTATGTCCATTTTGGTCTCTAAGCTGCGACTGGACTCAAATCTCGCAGTCCTCCTGTGGATGTTTCTCCTTCTGACCAGGGTGCTTGCAGTTGTATATGGAAAACTGGGCTGCTCCCAGCAATGTGCCAACAGAACACGAAGGAAAAAATGCCAGGTGATAGATGACTGATTTATTATACAAAGTCCCTACGCATTTCACTGTGCTGGGCTTATCAAGGGGAAGTAGAACACTCTCCTAGTGCTGGAACTGTCCACAGCAATTAAATTCTTTTACCTCTTGTAGGGACTTTGTATAATAAACCAGTCATCTATCCCCTGACATTATTGTTCTGCAGTTGTGTTGTGTCCTCTGGCCACCACCAGGGGCCAGCGACTACCCAGAGCTTGACCCTGGGTGAACAATGGGAACTGGGCTCCTGGGCTCTCCAACAGGGAGCCAATAGAAACATGGGAGGGAAGTTCAAACCCCCCAATGGGATCCAGGGGTGTCCCCTGGATATGTATATAGTTGGCCTCCTGGCCGTTTGTCTTTGTCTTAGTTGTGTAAGAGTCAAGCGTGCAGTATGTTATGCGAGCTGCAAGGGCCTAGCCATGCGGTCAACCCACTACACAATAAGTTGTATATGGTCATGGAGAGACTTTCCCAAAGTCTTCCTTTCTGTAGCAAAATACAATGCGCAGCGCTTGCTTTGGTGTCCCCCGATGTTGTCTGCCACGGCATGTTCTTTGTAAGTTCTATTGTGGTCGCTGCTCAACAAATATAATTTCAGTGGCATGGGATCCTCTCTCTCCCTTTAAGAGAACTCGATCCTATCTCTGGATGACAGGCAGCTGTCACAGTCCTCTCTCCCCGAATGGGTTTGTGAATGTTTTAAGGGCTCGGACGGAGGTGTGTGGGATGCCAGCCGTTGCACTTTCAGAAGGTGCTGACAAACACGACCGGAGAACTGAGTTGCAGTCAGAGAGGCAGGGCGGAATACCTTCTGTTTTGAATAGGAAGGGTCCCTTTGTGTGGGGCCAAAAGGAAACTGGAGGAGATGAACCAGAGACCTCCTCCGCCGTCTACGGGGATGGTTCCGAGTTAACTTAGCGGCATCCTCGTTTGAAGGGAAGCTCATCCGAATGGTGTCCACAATAGAAATGGCAAAGATACACCGGCAGATTGAATTACTGGCTCTTACCGCTTGATGTTCTCTGAATTGAGATAATCTCCTTAAGCGTTCTCTGCCTCTCCGAGTGATGAGAGGTTCTTGGCGTAGGTTTGTGGGGTTGAGTTTCCTTTGGATGAGAGGGCACCAGAGCTGATGGTGTCCTCGTATTCACCGTGCAGTTATCGTTCTTCCTTTCACTCGCTGAAAAATCGTTTTCTTCAATGAAAGTTAGCGGGGGTGGATTTTCAGCTGAAAAATGGATCAGGGAGAAATGGTTAGGTGTCTCCTTGTGCCAGGAAAACACAGCCCTGGAAGCCACATTCTGTTATGGGGGGGGGGGGCTTTCCCCTCCATTGTTTTACCAAAAGCGCAGCTCAAAACCACATTCAAATACCCCAGGGCACTGCCGCTGTACTGACTGTGCAGTCACCCCCGAATGGCCATGAAACTATGCAGAAGGTACCGTAAAACCCGATGATCAAAGAAAACGGAAGCGGCATGCGATGCGGAAGGGAATTTCTGTCCCAACGTGGGTTCGGTAAAACAATGGAGGGAAAAGCCCAATGCAGAATCAGAGAGAGAGAGGGGGGAGGGAGAGAGGGGGAGAGAAGAGAGAGGAGGGAGGGAGAGGGGAGAGGGAAGAGAGAGAGTGAGAGCAGGTGTCAGGAAAAAGGGTCTTGGATATAATTACATGTAGTTCCACCATGCCCTGACCTGGATAGGTCAGCAAAGCCTGATCTCATCAGATTATGGAAGCATGGATGGGGGACCACCAAGGAAGTCCAGGGTCGTGACGCAGAGGCAGGCAGTGGCGAACCACCTCCGGACATCTCTTGCCTTGAAAACCCTACGGGGTCACCATAACTCGGCGGCTACTTGAATTTATTTATTTATTTATTATATTTATACCCCGCCTTTCCTGCGAACAGGCTCAGGGCGGCGAACAAAAGCGGTCCAATGTACCTAATTGGCATAACCGTAACCATTTTGAAACTACATAAAATACATAGTAACTCATCTCACGTAATAATGGACAATAAAGTGCTCGCGATGCTGACAGATTGGATGGTGCGCTCTTCAGCTCTAAGTCCACGTTGTCCTTCTGATCGTCGTCCCTTAAGCAAATACAAGCCTGGCGATGCATCTGGGCCAGTCCTAAATTCCAGAAGTTCAATGGACGTTCAATGGAATTCCAGAAGGTCAATGGATGTTCAAAGGAATCCCAGAAGTTCAATGGACGTTCAATGGAATTCCAGAAGTTCAATGGACGTTCAATGAAATTCCAGAAGTTCAATGGACGTTCAATGGAATTCCAGAAGTTCAATGGACGTTTAATGGAATTCCAGAAGTTCAACTTGAAGGCATTGCCCACCACCACCGGTTCCACCTTGACTCAGGATGTGGAAGGGGGTGGTGTAGCCTGCTCTTGTCAGATCTTGAACACAAAGTGGGGTTGGACTTGGATAGGAGATAACTGAGGAAGGTAACAGCAAAGCAACTCTGCTCCTCACTTACCTTGAAAATCCCTTGCTGGGATCACCATAAGTGGGTTGCGACCAAGGCTCCCTCTAAGCTATGGAGTCCTGTGAGCAAAAATTCTACTTGGTGAGCCACTGGCATTAAAGTAGTGAGCGAGCGATCTGGCTGCTGCATAAATCAGTTTGCTCTGGAGCCCTCCTTCCTGAGCCGAGACAAAAATGTGTGAGCCAGAGTCTAAAAAACTGTGAGCTAGCTCACACTAACTCAGCTTAAAGGGAGCACCGGTTGTGACTTATACATACATTATAGCTCCACCCTGAATTGCCCTTAAATCCCCTTGATGCCAATAGATTATGTGTCCCATTGATTTCAACAACAACTAAGCGTGAATATGCTTACCTGGGTCAGGGAAATGCGCCTGGGCATGTGTGGGGTTCTCCCATCTGAAGAGTGCGATGCATTTTAGGGGCAAGGGAAATAACAAGGACTGCCTTTTTTGTTTTGTTTTTATTTTTCTTCTCTGGTGAACGGCCAGGAGAGTGAAATCCTGTTCGTACAGCAACCCTTACAAACATTACTAACAAGCAGTAGATACTGTTAACATCTTTAAGATAAAGATTTTGAAAAACAATATAGGAAACAAACCTTTTAACAGGGCGATCCTAAGCAGAGTTATACCTTTCTAAGTCACTTGCACTGGTCACATATTATGTTTTCTAGGCCGGCGGCACCCGTTTCCGAGTTGAAGCCAGAAAAGGAAGCCGTCCCTATTCAAGTTCCTGCCCAAGTTCCTGCCCCCCAATCCCGGACTCCGTCCCCGCTTTGTCAAGATCATGGTAGGGCAGGACAGGTATAACTATGTAGCTCTTCTTCATTTTCCAGCAATGCATATGTAGATAAGGGTTTCTGCCTGGGTGACGTTTCCATTGGTTGGCAGCCAGTCCATGGGCGATATTTGAGAGCCAGTTTGGTGTAGTGGTTAAGTGCGCAGACTCTAATCTGGGAGAACCAGGTTTGATTCCCCACTCCTCCACTTGCAGCTGCTGGATGACCTTGGGCGAGCCGTAGTTCTGTCAGAGCTGTTCTCTCAAGGGCAGTTCTTGAAAGAGCTCTCTCAGCCCCACCTACCTCACAGGGTATCTGTTGCGGGGAGGAGAAGGGGAAGGCGTTTCTAAACCATTTGGAGGCTCCGAGTGAAGGGCGGGGTAGAAATCCCATCCTCCTCCTCCTCCTTCTGGAATCAGCACCACTGGGTCCACCCAGTGGAGTTTTGCTGTTCAGTTAGGCTATAGCATTTCCGATGGTCAAAGAACCAAACCATGGTTTGGAGTTATATATATGGAAACAGCATAATTAAAAATGGCAAGCAAAACTCCAGCTCTGCACAAGACTTCTCTCCTACATGAAGGGTGTAGCGTGGCATCTCATATCTTGTAGATGGCCCATTGGGGTTGTCCCAGGCTAGCCTGGTCAGATCTCCGGAGCTAAGCAGGGCCAGTCCTTGGATGGGAGACCACTGAGGAAGTCCGGGGTTGCTATGCAGAGGCAGGCAATGGGCAAGCCACCTCTTTTGCTTTGAAAACCCTACAGAGTTGCCCTAAATTAGCTACGACTTGATGGCACTTTCTACCCACCACCGCTGCTGGTGTTAGAAAGACATTTGTTTCCGTTCATATTGAATGCACATCTGTTTCAAGCTATGAAGTACTGGGGAGTTCCCACAAAGAGGAGCAGTTATTTCCTGCAATGTGGCTTGAGAGGGGTTAAACCACGGCAACAACAATGTTACCCAAATCACCGGTTTGGTGTAGTGATTAGGAGCGCGGACTCTTATCTGGCAGAACCGGGTTTGATTCCCCACTCCTCCACACGCAGCTGCTGGGTGTCCTTGGGCAAGCCACAGTTCTCTGAGAGCTGTGCTCTCAAGAGCAGTCCTCGAAAGAGCTCTCTCAGCCCCACCTCCCTCACAGGGGGTCTGTTGTGGGGAGAGGAAGGGAAAGGAGATTGTAAGCCAATCTGAGACTCCCAGTGAAGGGCGGGGTATAAATCCAGTCTCCTCCTCCTCCTCCTCCTCCAGAGTCCCTGTAGCTAGCAAAATGTCCTTCTAGCAAAGGGAAAACATGTGTTTTGTGTGGTATTAATTGCTGAGACCATAATAACCTTTGTATATGGGGATCGAGATACAGACCAACACTCAAACCAAAAACAAATGAAGGGGAATAAGCTGCTTAAATAAGAAAAGAAATTTATTGAATTAACAAAAGGGAACCTAGTTAGATCAGGTAAATAAAAATAGAGGTGCTACGGAAAGGAAATCATTGCACATGTTATGCATGGAGCCTAAGCCTTTCCTCTTAGCTGTTCCTAGAATGGGCTGAGCTTGCTTCTACAGAACAATAGCTCGCCTGGATCCAGGAACTAACCAATAGATAAGCAGTGTAATGTAAATAGCCTATCACTGGGAGTGGGTGTGTGTTGGGTGTGGTGTTTTGCATGCTTATAAGCAGGCTTCCAAAAGTGAATTAGATAAGCATATGGAGCAGAGGTCCATTAGTGGCTATTAGCCACAAGGTATAGATAGAGACTCTGGGGCAAGTAATGCTCTGTCTTCTTGGTGCTTGGGGGGGGGGTCAACAGTGGGAGGGCTTCTAATGTTCTGGCCCCACTGGTGGACCACCTGATGGCACCTGGTATTTTTGGCCACTGTGTGACAGGGTGTTGGACTGGATGGGCCTTTGGCCTGATCCAACATTGGCGTCTCTTATGTTCTTATGAGGTAATAACAGCAAAAAAATATATATATTTAAATTTATTATGGAATTATTATGTGCATTTGATATGTAATAATTTAGCTTTTTCTCTCCCTTTGGACAATTCCAGAAAGCAACACCTGGCTCTAAAGGAAAATCTTTTTTCATATATTTATTTCTGGATGTGTATTGTTTTGCAATAGTAATGACCACTGAGGAAGGCCCTAAGGGGCCAGTACACGTATTGTCTACTGGCCATAAGATATACTCATCAATTGTATATGTGAAACTAACAGCTCTGTATGTAAAAGGTTTTACATACAGATCATTTTTTAACCTATTTTATCTTTTACTAATGTGTACACCATAATAAATATTTGTATTTTTATAATAAGTTAATTATAGCCAGATGTTAAAGCAAATAAAATTGGCTGCCAAGCCATTAGTCAGGGCAGGGGATTCCCTTCCCCAAGATTTCATAGCTCACCTCTGAGAAAAATTAAAAAGAAAAATAAGGTCCCATCTACTTAACAGGACATACTTACCATAGAGTTCCTGGTGATTCCTAGCATTACCTGGAAGTGACAAAAGGTACCTCTGGGATCGCTAGTAGCTCTATGGTAAGAACTTCCTGTATGTTGATGAGGCCTTATTTTTCTTTTTGATTTTTCTCCTGGAACACTGCCTTCCCACAGCCCTCCCACTGGTTGCCAGGCACTCACTGGAAAACCTATTCATAGTAGATGCCATACATGAATTTGTTCAAGCTTATGCTGTGGATGCAGTTTACACAAATGTGCACTGCCTGGCTGTGTAAATTGTCTAACTGGAGAAGGAGTACCATGGATAGCCCGAAACCTGTTGATGCCTATATCAGAAAATCTGCATGGTGCCCTCAAACTCACACTACCTCATTCATCACCAGTGGCTTATTTTTTGCAACAATGTCATAAGGGGGGGAAAAACCCCAGAACTGACTTCTTTTATCATTACCCCTGAATTTGTTCCTCGAGGTGTAGGCGGTGTAGGGGAGGGCTGGTCCTGGCCGATATCCAGTCTGCTCCACACAAACTCTCGGGGTCTTTTGTGCTTCCAGGAAATGTGCTACTTGTGCATGCAGCGTGCTCAGAGGAACATCCCCGTTTACTTGAATGAAGAGAAGAGGAGGAAGGAGAAGGAGGAGGAGAGGATACTTGCGCAGTACCTAGCCCTGAAAGATCAAGATGCCCTGCAGAAGCAGCAGGTATTGGGACTGGGGAAATAGTAGTGGTTCTTTTGGGCTGGTTTTTTTTTTTTTTGCATTTGTGTGTGCGTGTGTGCACATGTGTGTGTGTGTGTGTGCCCGTGCATGGGTGACATTCTGAGAAGTGGCTTGATGACCTGCCTCTGCCTCCCAGCCCTGGTATTCTTTGGAGGCCTCCCATCCAAATACTTGCCAGGGTTGCAGTGGATCTTTTTTAATTAGATTTTTTGTGTGGGTGTGGGTATTGAGGGGACAAGATTCATTAGGATCATAAAGTTTTTTATTTTTTTCAAAAAATAACAATTACAACTACAGTAACTTCAACAAGTTAAACAGTGGTAATAGGTTGGAATACAATTACAACAATCATTTTAAGTAAGTAAGTTGGTCAACAGTGGGAGGGCTTCTAATGTCCTGGCCCCACTGCTGGACCTCCTGATGGCACTGGTATTTCTGGCCACTGTGTGACACAGAGTGTTGGACTGGATGGGCCTTTGGCCTGATCCAACATTGGCGTCTCTTATGTTCTTATGTTTAGTAGGTTAAACTGGAAATATCGTTTTCAACAGGTAAAATTGAGTATTTATTTAAGTTGTCAATAGAACACAAAGTCTAGATATTTCTTTGGTATAGACCATTTCTTATTTGGAGATGTGTTAATATATTCAAAGAACCATTTCTCAAGAAATTTAGAAGGATTTTGGGTCTTGTGAACTGACAACATCTGGAGTGCTAACTTATCTGAGACTGCTAAGTCCCATACTTTTTCAAACCATTGGCTCAAAGAAGGTGATTTTTTTCGATTTCCATCTTTGAGCTATTAAAGTCTTTGCAGCAAGAATAAAGATTAGAAGTAGGTCTGTTTTGTTTTTTGTGGTCTTAAAAGTTGGCCAATGGTTTAGCAAGATTGATTCAAATGTAAAGGGAATTTTAAGATTTAAGATTTGATCTGAGTACTGCACAATTGTTTTCCAAAACATTGTTATTGTGGGAGGGGACAAGATTGATTGATTTATCTACTTCATTGATACCCCACCTTTCTCCCTAACGGGGATGCAAGCTGGCTTACATCATTCTCCTCTCCTGCATTTTATTCTCACAACAACCCTGGGAGGTGGGTTAGGCCAAGAGTGTGTGACTGGCCCAAGAGGTACCCAGCAAGCTTTCATGGTGGAAGTGCCGATTTGAACCCAGCTCTTCCAGATCCTAATCCAACACTCTAAACGGCTACACCGCGCTGGATGGGGAACGCTTGCGTCCTGAGGCCTGGTTCACGGGTGCATGGTCTTCATGGGATGTCTGCAGTTTCTAGTTATGGCTCACTTGCATGAAAGCACCGTCACAGGCCAAACCACACAGACAGAATTTCTGTAGGCAGCCAATGTGGCATAGTGATTTACAGGTTAGTATCTGGACGACCAAGGTTCAAAATGGGCACTCAACTCATTGGGTAATCTTGGGGCAGTTATTCTCTTCCAGCCTAGCCTACCTCACTGGGGTGTTGTGATAGAAAAGAGGGAGAGTCCAATAGCACCTCAAAGACTAACAAAATTTGTGGTAGGCTATGAGTACGAGCTTTCGTGGGTCACTGCTCACTTCTTTGTTGTGAGGATACTATGAGGAGAGGGGTAACCGTGGATGTTGTCCTGAGTTCTTTGGAAGAAGGAAATAATACAAATGTACTCACTTGATGAGTATTCCTCTCAAAGTTCTACACAGCCACCTAAGATCGGGGTCCCAAAATCGTCTGGCCCTCCCGGGTCCTAGAGAAGCCAGGCTGGCTGTGATGAGGGCCAGGGCCTTTTCAGTGGCGGCTCCGCACTGGTGGAATGAGCTCCCGAATGACATCAGGGCCCTGAGGGTCCTTCTACAGTTCCGCAGGGACTGCAAGACGGAGCTCTTCCACCAGGCCTTCGAGTAGGGAGCCGCCCTAATAAACCGAGACCCTGGCTCCAAACTAACATCATCATCAACGTGTCAATGATGTTAGATTCAAATTACCATCATTGTTAACTAGGCTTGCCAAGTCCCCCTGGGGGGTGAAGAAAACCCCACCCCAGAGGCCCGTTCCCCGCCGCTAGCGGATCGGGCCCCGGGGGGAACCCCACCCCAACGTGCACGTCACCCGGAAGTGACGCGACCACGCCGTGGTCCCTCGGATGGTCGTGGCCCCGCCCCCAGCGTGCCCGGTGACGTGCGTGTGGCATGCATGCGCACTCCAGCCGCCAGCCCCCCGCTGCGGCTCAAAAAGCACTTGGCAACCCTATTGTTAACATGTCAAGGTCAGACGCTGCTAATGCCCGCCATCGCCCACGAATAGCACTAGTACTTTACGCTGTGTTTTATAATTGTATTGTTGTGGTTTTATCTAACTCTGTGTTTTTGTGTTTTAATATGTTTTTTGTCAGCCTTGGCAGGGAGGGCAGGCTACAAGTCAAATCAAATCAAGAAATCAATAAATACAATCTGTACCCTGTCCTCTCAGATAATGTCAATGGAGGAAGTGCCCTTGGAGGAAGATCAAAATGTACTTGATAGATACGTGGGGGCACTGGGTCTAATAGTGGGCGTTTTAAAGGGTCTGGGCCCACCCCAGTAGTTTGCCAACCTTACCGATATCTGGTGCCAAAAAATGCACTAAAGAAATACAGCCAAGAACTGAAAGCTGTGTACCTCATGAGAAATGGAAGAGGCCATTTGCATCTCAATCAAAAGTTCCATGGTGCGGTCCTCGGGGACCACAACACACCTTCTCTCCCTCAAAAGGAAGTTGCCTTGCATCAGGGAGAAGGCTATTTAGCTGGGGGCGGGGCAGAATTTTATTGCCCGTCTGAATAATCTACCCTCCCCCCCCCCAAGGTTTTGACACTTTTGTTGACTCTCTGTTACCTTTCCCATGACAGATAAGGGCCTTGGCCAGCAGAGAGCAGAACCAAAAGATTGCCGCGTTCAATCTTGGGGTCGCCGAAGCCTTAAGAAGCCAGAAGAATGAAAAAGCTCCGGAAACTTACGTAAGGTCTTGCAGTTCACGAGATTCTAACCGCTCCAGTCAAAACTGATTGTGCGTGTGTGTGTGCGTGCATCCTGAACAGGCCAATTTCTTTCCTTGTAGAAATCCTACATTTTTGAGAAAAGGCCGTTAAGTGCTACCCCTCATCAAAAGCAGGAGTTATACTCACAACAGCTGGCAATACAGTTGGGGGAGAAGACCACGAGAGAAGCCAAGCTGAAGCAGGATCAGGATCTTGTTGACCGTCTGGAGCAAGTGCACTTAGCCGAAGAGTAAGTCTTATGCTTGGGAGACAGTATTGGGATTGGTGGTTCCTGTATGCGTTTCTTCTCAAAATGTTAAGGATGCAAGTCTTTTTTGGTGAGTATTTGTGTGTGTTCCTGGAAGTCATGATTGACTTCTGGTGACCCCTAGTGGGGCTTGGCCGTTTCAGAGAGGTGGCTTGCTATTGCCTGCCTCTGCATCTCAGCCCTGGTATTCCTTGGAGGCCTCCCATTCAGGTACCTGCCAGGGTCGGCCCTGCTTAGCTTCTGAGATCTGATATCAGGCTTGCCTGGCCTATCCAGGTCAGGGCAAGGATGCGACTTTTTAAGGGCTGACAATCAGCTCTTTCAGACTTTGCTAGATCAGACCGAAAGAGTCCACCATTTTGTTTCCAGAAGAGTTCAGTCAAAACCTGAACATTATATATGAACTTGCCTTAGACCGAGTCAGACCACTGGTCTATCAAGGTCAGCAGGGCTTTCTTTGTAGAAAAAGCCCAGCAGGAACTCATTAGCATAATAGGCCACACCCAACAGCAGGAACTCATTAGCATATTGGGCCACACCCCTGACAGCACAGCTCATTTGCATATTAGGTCGCACCCCCATGTTACCAGAAGTGTGGTCATCCAGCCACACGCACCTTTTGCTTCTTATTTTGCTTACCTTATTTGTTGTCAAAACCCAGAGCTTTTTTTGTAGCAGGAACTCCTTTGCATGTTAGGCCACACACCCCTAATGTAGCCAATCCTAATGAGTTTCTGCTCTTGGGTGTGGCCTATTATGCTAACGAGTTCCTGCTGGGCGTGGCCAACTCAGGAGGCAGCCGGAATTCCGTTCCTGCCCCAAAATAGCCCTGAAGGCCAGTATTGTCTTTTCTTGACTTCCCGTGGCTCTATAAGGTCAGAGGCTTAGAGTCTTTCACATAACTTCCTACCTGATCTTTTCACTGGAGACTAGATGCTCCACCTGTGAGCCACGGTTCCTTCCCTATTTCCCCGGGAAGCTCACCAGGAGGGTATATTGCCCATTGCCTGTATTCATACATGCTCACATTCAGATGGACACTTCTGGAAACAGAATGGTGGACTCGATGTATGTTTAAGGTGAGATGATGAATCTAGTCAGATCAGCTTTTCAGGAAGGAAACTGAAATGGGTCTTCATTCAGACCTCCTGCTTTATGCTGTCTTTCAAACAAGTGCAATCTCTCTTCTTTTTAAAAAAAGAATAGTTCAATCTGGACAAATATAACCAAATGTAAAATTTAAAATACCGTATATGTGAAATGGGGCTTTCTGTTTCTTTATCTTTCTTTCTGTCTTTTTGTGTGTGTAAAACTACGGCTTTGTTTGAGCTAAGAATTTTTTGGGTTTTTTTTTTGTATTTTCCATATGTACATGTGTGTGTCTCTGTGTGTGTGTCTCTCTGTGTGTGTCCGTGTGCTTGTGTGTGCACCTGGAAGTCATGGCGACCTCTGGTGACTGACTGGGCGTGGAGCAGGGATCACTGCAGACGTGGAGGGGGAGGTAGTTGTGAATTTCCTGCATTGTGCAGGGGGTTGGACTAGAGGACACCATAGGTCCCAACTCTATGATTCTATGACCCCTACTGGGGGCCTGGAGGATATTCAGAGAGGTGGCTGAATGGAGCCTGCCCCCACCTCCTGACTGCTGGTATTCCTTGGAGGTCTCTCATTGCAAGTACTTGCCAGAGTCAACCCTGCTTCGGTTCCGAGATCCGATGAGATCAAACTTGCGTGGGCTATCCAGGTGAGGGCTGAGCTAAACATTTTTGAGAACCAGAACCAAAATAGGGTTGCCAGCTCCAGGTCAGGAATACCTGGAGATCAGAGGGAGGCACCTGGGAGAGAGGGGGTTTTTTTTGGGGGGGGGACTTTGATAGGATATACTGCCATGCTGCTTGCCTTCCAAAGCTGCCATTTTCTCCGGGAGAAGTGGACTATGTTTTAAACAACGAATCAATAAATAAGCAAGTCAGGCGGTATGGGGATCAGTTGCAATTCCTGGAGATATCCAGATCCCACCTGGCAACCTTAAATCAATAGGTGAGGTGAATGGATTCGCAGTAAAGGAAAATCCCTCTACATGCAATTAAAAAAAGGGGAAGAAGAGATTTGATGTATACCCTGCTCTTCACTATCCGAAGGAGTCTCAGGGCAGCTTACAATCAGTGCTCCCTCTAAGCTGTAGAGTCTTGTGAGCAAAAATTCTACTTTGTGAGCTACTGGCATTAAAGCTGTGAGTGAGCAATTTGGCTAGCTGGAGGCTAAAAAACTGTGAGCTAGCTCACACTAACTCAGCTTAGAGGGAACACTGCTTACAATCACCTTCCCCTTCCCCTCCCCACAACAGACACCCTGTGGGGTAGGTGGGGCTGAGAGAACTCTCTCAAGGACTGCTCTTGAGAGAACAGCTCTGAGGGAACTTTTGAGTGGCCCAAGGTCACCCAAATGGCTGCATGTGGAGGAGGCGTGGGGAATCAAACCCGGTTCTCCCAGATTAGAGCCCATGCTCGTGATGACTACGCCAAACTGACTCTCAGAAGAAAATACACCAAAGGAAGGGCTGTAGAATTCCTTCATCATTGATGTACTGTAATTGAAAGCTTACAGCAAAGGTTCTGTCTGTCTGAGGTAAAGCAGCCATTTTGTTCAGTGGGGTTGTAAGCACTGAGAGGACAAAAAAAAACTCGCCCTTGGTTTAGCTGTTGTTGTTTTTGTTTGTTTGTTTGTTAATTGACTTCAGGCCAGTTGCCAGAAAAGTAAGTCCATTTGTCTTAAATGGCTTTTGCGTTGGGCTGTGGTCTCCAGAACCCCCCAGAGGTCCTGGGCTGCATACTCTGACCCGTTAGACACTGTCCTCTTACTCAGAGGGTTCTGCCTTGCACTAGTGATAATATTTTTATTTTAGGAATCGGCAAACCTTTTATTTAGTGATAAAATAACTCGTACTGTCTTCACCTAGGGATGCCAGCCTCCAGGTGGGACCTGGGGATCCCTTGGAACTACAGCTCATCTTCAGACTGCAGAGATCAATTCCCCTGGAGGAAACGGGTGCTTTGGAGGGTGGACTCTATGGCATTGTACCCCACTGAGGTCCCTGCCCTCCCCAGGCTCCACCCCCAACCTGGATCTGGCAGCGCTGTCCCCCCACCCTCTACGGGTGGCCAGGGGCGACCGGGCAGCCCTCTATTCACCCCAAGCCAGAAGTCAGTTTTCTCGGGGCGAAGCGGCTAAGCCCTCAACACCTGTTCTTTTAATTTTCTAGGTTAGCTGCCCAAAGAGCGAAGTATCTCAAGGACAGGACGGCCGAGATGCAGTGTTATAAGAAGGCGTTGGATTCGCAGGTAAGAATTCGGTGCGAGGGCTCGAATTAATTAGTTGCTTATTGGCTCTTTCCGCCGGAGGTTAATTGGGGTGGTGTTTAGTCTGTGAGGCTGGCTGTTCTCTAGGGTCGCCAGCTCCAGGTTGGGAAATACTGGAGATTTTGGGGGTGGAGACTGAGGAGGCGGGGCTTGGAGAGGGGAGGGACTTCAATGGGGTATAATGCCATAGAGTCCACCCTCCGAGGTAGCCATTTTCTCCAGGGGAACTGATCTCTGTCGCCTGGAGTTCAGTTGTAATCCCAGGAGATCTCCAGCCACCACTTGGAGATTGGAAACCCAACTCCTCTCTCATGAAAAAAGTAGTGTAAAAGGCATAAAATCTCAAAGGTTGCCTGTTCCCCCCAGTATGTGACTAAGGTTGTCAGGTACTCACCACATGCCACCGGGGGTGGGAGGGATCCTTCTGGGAGTGGGGGCCCCCCTTCCACCCTCAACCGCGATGTCACTGATGCAACAATGTCACGCGGAAGTGACATCATCACATTGGGGATGTCGCGCAGCGACGCTCTGGTTTGAGGGCAAAACTCTATGGTAGTGGTGCCAGTACGATGGAGCTCCCTCTCAAGGGAAGTTCTTGGGTCCCCTTCTCTTGATGCTTTCTGTCAGCAGGTGAAGATTTTTTTCTGTGTTGTCTAGATTTTCCTCAAGAACTCTCTTTCCCTTACGTTTTAATTTAACCTACTTTGTTTCACGTATGCATCTTTCACTCTGGTGTTTAATTGGGTTTATGATCTATTCTTATTATGCTGTTTTAATGGTTAGCCGCCTTGGTGGCCCTGATTGGGCAGAAAGGCGGGGTATAAATGTTGCTAATGAATCATACAACTTTTTTGGGGGAACAATTGCTGTCAAAGTGTGCTTGCCCGCCATGTGCACCAGTTTGGTGCAGTGGTTAGGAGTGCGGACTCTAATCTGGGAGAACCGGGTTTGATTCCCCACTCCCCACGTGCAGCCAGCTGGGTGACCTTGGGTCAGTCACAGGTTCTCTCAGAGCTGTTCTCTCAAGGGCAGTCCCCGAAAGAGCTCTCTCAGCCCCACCCACCTCACAGGGTGTCTGTTGTGGGGAGGGGAAGGGAGAGGAGATGGTAAGCCGCTCTGAGACTCCGAGGGAAGGGCAGGGTATAAATCCAATCTCTTCTTCTCCTGGATTTGGACCCAGATCAAGATGAAGCCGGCTCCACTGCCTCACTGTGAGCCCAATTCGAACGAGGCCATCTTTGGGAAGAACGACTTGAGCAAAGAGAAGGTGGAGGAGAGAAGAAAGCGATCCCAGGAGTTCTCCAGACATCAACTGCAGGCTGCTGCAGACCGCAAGCGGGCCGCGATCCTCAGTCAGCTGATAGAGCAGAGGAGGGCAGAAGAAATGATCCAGAGGGCGAGGAAGCAGTATGGACAGAACTCGCAGTGCTATAGTCTCTTAATATGCTGGGCTGGGTGTCTCTTTTGTCTCCTGGGGGTTGGATCCCATGGAAAATGTCTGCTAAAGGAAGAAGGGAGGGACGGTTTGTGCTGATGTCCTCCCTCTAGCTACACATTTCTGAACGCCCCCCAAGGCTGTTCCTCGGGGTCCTGTGTCCCTGGGGAGTGGCATTTCAATGGGCATCTTGGTCTTTGGTGGGAGGTGAGGAGGTCCTGTTCTGCCCGTGGAAATCCCTTCCATCAGCAGACATTTACCTCAAGATCCAGGCCCTGGGATGCACTTGGCAGGGCTGTGCCCAGGGCCGGCCCCAGCTTATTTTGCACCCTAGGCGAGGATCCCTTCTGGCGCCCCCCCCCCCCGGTGTGCCCACCTATTTTCAAAAATAAATTCATTTTAGGAAGAATGAAAAACACAAATAATCAAGAAACTCCCAGAGTATGGGGCCGGGTTCAGTTTGGCGCCCCTAAGGGCCGTCTTGCTCTAGGCGACCGCCTAGCTCGCCTAGTGAGTGAGCCGGCCCTGGCTGTGCCTAAACTCAGAACGCTGCTGAATTCTGTGGCACTATATTGGGCTTCAGATTCACACCCTTGCCCTCAGTTGACTGAGCAGCAGGAGAGAAAAAATGAGGAGCAGGACCGTAGCCAGGATATTTGTTTTGTTGGGTGGGGCATTTAAATGTTTACGGGGGCAGTTAAATCACAGTTAATTAAATTAATCTGAACGTCTGTCTTTAAAGGGGGGAGGCTCCAAGCCTGTTTCTAGCTCTCCCTCCCAAGGCTATTTGTGGGGCAGGACTTTTAATTAAGGGGGCGGGGGCCCAAAACACCCCACTGTAGCTACGGGCCTGATGAGGAGAGGGAATGAAGTTGTGGAGGCTGTGACATCACTTCCAGGTGATCACCCAGAAGTGACATCACAGCATCTGTGACACTCCCCCCTTCACAGGCTCCACCCCCTCAAAGCTCCCAAGATTTGCAGATACAGGGCTGGCAACCCTAGTCTTTATAAATCTGCATTGCTTTTGGGACGGTCCAGTTAGAGCTCTTCACAGAAATTCTACACCAATGTACTAGGTCTGGAAGGGCCGTCGGTATACCTGTATTCCCCCCACGGGGCATATGGAGCTTCCTGGGGCTGTTTGGGCCAGGAAGATGGCCCAAGGAAAGGAAGGCTGGAGTCCCTTTGCCCCACATCATGGTCCTGATCCAAACTGGGGACTTGTGCATGTGAAAAGTTAGTTCCCAGTGGGGCGACATGTGACTTAGTTAGGTGACATGTGACAAAGTCAGACCAGGAGCATCCAACATGCCAAAAATTGTAAGCATATAATTTGGCTGTTTAAATTACTAGGCCTTGCTGAGCTCGTGTTCCAAGTGCTTTCATGCACACTCCCTACTCACAACCTGCATGTTTCAACGTCTGTTTTTTAACAGCTATAGAAATGCAGATGATCAGCTGTTCTGGAGAGGGAATGTAGAGCTGGATTCAGTTTCTTCCCATCCATTCCTTCCCCCACCAAAATGGCCCGTGGAGCTTTGAGAAGAAAGGCCTGTATGCATCCATATATTCCACCCTGTCCCTCTTGGACGAAGGTTGGGATTAGGGATGGGCATACACCAGGAAAGCCCGGTTCAGTTCGGGGCTTGTGAGCCGGGCGGCACCAAACTGAGCCCTGAACCGAACCCAGAGCAAAAAACCCCACCAGTTCGGGTGACATCAGACCTCGCCCCCGGCATGCCCGTGTCATCTGGAAGTGATACAAACGCGTCATCCCCCAGCGCGCTTGTGTCACTTCATCCCCCAGTGCACCCACATCACCCAGAAGTGACCTGAGCATGTTGGGCAGCGCACTTGCGTCACTTCCAGGTGTTGCGGGTGTGCCGGGGGCAGGGCCTGACGCCACCTAGAAGTGACATGCGCACACTGTGGGGCTGAACCCCGAACCGAACCAAGCAGAAGCTTGGTGAGTGTTCGGGGAAAGATGCCATTCGAGAACCAAGGTTCGTGAGCCCGAACCGGGCAAAGTCTGGCCTGGACTTTGGCTCAGATTTGGGTCTGTGCCCATCCCTAGTAGGGATACAAATGTGAAGAATGAATGAGAGTTCATGTTTCCCCTTACCTTTGCAACCCCCACTGGTATAAAGATAGAACGCCTCTTTAATGAGCATGGCACACACACAAATAAATGTGGCTTAGGGTTGCCAGATCACCCCTGGCCACTGGCAGGAGATGTGGAAGTAGGGTTACCCGATCCAGGTTGGGAAGCTCCTGGAGTTTTGGGGAGGGAGCCTGGGGAGGATAAGGGCCTCAGTGGGGGTACAAAGCTATAGAGTCCACCTTCCAAAGCATCCGTTTTTCCCAGGGGAACTGATCTCTGTAGTTTGGAGATGAGCTGTAATTCTGGGGGATCCCCAGGTCCTACCTGGAAGCTGGCCTCCCTAGTGTGACTGCTGTTCATCTGGTTTGGACCTAGTTAGTGGGAAAAGATCCAATCATTGATTTTCTGTTTCTCACATTATGTTATTGCTATTATCATGTGGCAGTGTGTGTAGAACAGCCAGGAGATCCTTAGATTGTCTGGCAGCCAGAAACTCTAGCTCTTTAGCATTATGCACCACTAGGTGGTGAGCTAGACTTGTTTTTAAGGCAAGAGACGTTTCAGAGGTGGCTTGCCACTGCCTGCCTCTGCGTCAAGACCCTGGTATTCCTTATTTATTTATTTAGATTTATATCCCGCCCTCCCAGCCAAGGCCGGCCCAGGGCGGCTTACAAACAGAATAAAACATACACAGCTCCTGAAGTACACAGAAGTACAAAAGAAACCACAATCTGCTAGTGTTACAGGCCCACAGAAGTTATGAGGGCACAGCAGCATGTGTTGATGGCAGACAATCACAGCCACAACTATGTGGCAGCTTGGTGTTAACACGTGCAACCATAATGTGGCCAAAAGAATCAGGCCTCACAGAGATAGGCCTCAGAACTATTCATTTGTAACTGTAGGTCAGGCAATAGTTAAAAAGAGGTATCCTTCTACACTCAAACTGAAGATTAACATACTGAAATCCCAGTTCTTGGAGACTTAGGTTCCTAGGCCTAGAGATATTTGGTGTGTGGAGGGGGTCTTCAAATCTGCAAGCTTGGCGGTTGCCCTTCCAAATACTAGCCAGGGCCAACCCTGCTTAGTGTCAGGATCCCTAGTCAGGTCACACCACACAGGGCTTCATAAGAAGATAACTGTTTATTAGTGGATCCAGTACTAAAGAACACGTGTACAGTTTGTGTCAGGGATGGCCGTCAGTACTAGGGCCTCTAACTTATAGTGAAATCAAAGCATTCCCCCTTACGCATGATCCAATGGATATAATTCGCGCGCACGGCAAAGCAAGCGAGCATAGCAGAAAAGCCGTTAACTTTTCCAGACGCTGCAGCTGGAAATCTACAAGGGTCAAGCAGAAGATAGCATACAGTAGCTGAGCAGGGTAGAGCTGAGAACGAAGAGGAGGATACCCCTCCACATTCCAGATCCATGGCAGGGCTACCTGACACTTCGCTTCTGAGATCTGGTGGGATCGGGCCAGCCTGGGCTACCCAGGTCAGGGCTTCACATTATGCACCAACAGTGAAGGGGCCGCAGGGCATTTTTTTGCAGAAAAAGCCCAGCAGGAACTCATTAGCATAATAGGCCACACCTAACAGCTGAAACTCATTAGCATATGAGGCCACACCCCCATGTTACCAGAAATGTGGTCATCCAGCCACACCCACCTTTTGTTTCTTATTCTGTTTACCTTGTCTGTTGTCAAAACCCAGGGCCTTTTTTTGTAGCAGGAACTCCTTTGCATGTTAGGCCACACACCCCTAATGTAGCCAATCCTAATAAGTTTCTGCTGTTGGGTGTGGCCTGTTATGCTAATGAGTTCCTGCTGGGTGTGGCCAACTCGGGAGCCAGCCGGAACTCCGTTCCTGTGCGTTCGTGCCCAAAAATAGCCCTGGAAGGGGGGGATGAAAAAGTGTGACATTTAAATAAGGTCCGGCTCTGGATGCCTTTGACAGTGCCCCCCCCTCGTTCTCTTTATTTCTTGTGTGCTGTTTGTTTTCTTAATAGCGTGCCAGGGAAGGATCTACTTGTGCAAAGTGACGCAGGCCAGACTCTGAAGTTCTCTCCCCCTCTACCAAATCTTTTTCGAGGTGGATCGCCGAGAAAGGAGCCCGGCTTGAGAGAATCTTCCAGATGAATTTAGCGGTGAAGGACGACTGGAAGAAGAGCGCCGGCCTGAAAAGGCAACGGGATTACGAAGAGAAACTCTTTCAGCGGTAAAGAACGGCAAAGATGGCCCGCCTCGTTTCTTGACCTCTGGTGTTTGTCTCAGGGTGCCAGTCCTGGGGTTTGGGGAGGGACTTAAGAAGATGGGTACATGGCTCACATTTTGAGTTCTTCATTGGCACCAGCCACTGGGGTGGTAGGGCAATGACGAGGTGTGGATCTAGATAGGGGAGCCAGCCTGGCGTTGCATCTCTGTGGGCAGAAGCCTCCAGTGCCTGGTATTGGTTGCCTCTCTAGTCATGTTCCTAGAAGAACCAATCAAACTGCATTGGGACTGCTTGTTATCTTTCCCTGATCAGTCAGACCACGATCCGTTTGACCCAGTGGCATGTATCCAGCCATGGGTGGACCTCAAAGAGTGGGACTCGTCCACTTCCCCCCTCCCACTGCAGCCCATCGAGCCCCACCAAATGTTTTTCCCGGGCTGGGGGGGGGGCTCTGTGGACCCTCAGGAACAGCATAAGGGGCAAAGTCTGTGGAAGGCGAGAGAGCTGGCAGAAACGACCCCCTTCTCTTCTTCAAATTAAAATCCCGTTCAGTTGGGGGAAGCATTCCAGTGTCTTAGACTGAAAGGCAGGGGTATTTTTGGGCAGGAATGCACAGGAACGGAGTTCCGGCTGGCTCCCAGGTTGGCCACACCCAGCAGGAACCCATTAGCATAATAGGCCACACCCAACAGCAGGAACTCATTAGGACTGGCTACATTAGGGGTGTGTGGCCTAACATGCAAAGGAGTTCCTGCTACAAAAAAAGGCCCTGGGTTTTGACAACAAACAGGGTAAACAGAATAAGCAGCAAAAGGTGGGTGTGGCTGGATGACCACACTTCTGGTAACATGGGAATGCGGCCTAATACGCTAATGAGCGGTGCAGGCAGGATGTGTGGCCTAATATGCTAATGAGTTCTTGCTGTTGGGTGTGGCCTATTATGCTAATGAGTTCCTGCTGGACTTTTTCTACAAAAAAAGCCCTGCTGAAAGGTCTCTTGCATCTCTGCTACCTGAGAGCTGTTACCTGAAGACTGAACCAGGACCTTCTCTGTGTAAAGTATGATTTCTATCCATAAGGAATGGCAGGTGCAATTTTCACACATAAACATGTCCAGGACAGTGATGCTTTGTGTTCTTGGTGCTTGGGGGGGGGGCAACAGTGGGAGGGCTTCTGGAGTTCTGGCCCCACTGCTGGACCTCCTGATGGCACCTGGGTTTTAGCCACTGTGTGACACAGAGTGTTAGACTGGGTGGGCCATTGGCCCGATCCATAAGAGAACAGAACATAAGAGAAGCCATGTTGGAACAAGCCAATGACCCATCCAGTGGGGCTAGAAGCCCTCCCACTGTTGCCCCCACTGTTGCACCAAGAACAGAGAGCAAAACTGCTCCAAACAGAGTGCTCCATCCATACCTTGTGGCTAATAGCCACTGATGGACCTCTGCTCCATCTGTTTATCCAGTCCCCATTGCTTTTCTTATGTTCTTAACATGCACAGAAAGCAGCTTATACTGAATCAGACCATTGGTCCATCAAGGTGACAGTGACTCTCCAGGGTCTCAGGCAAAGATGTTTTACATTACTGCCTACCTGATCCTTTTAAACTGGAGATGCCGGGGATTGAGCCTGGGATTTTCTGCAAGCAGAGGCTTTTCCACTGAGCCACAGCACCTTCCCAGTCTCATAAGCTCTAGTGCAGGGGTGTCGAACTCATTTGTTATGGAGGGCCGGATTTGACATAAATTGGACTTTGTTGGGCCGGGCCGGGCCGGGCCGGGCCGTGTGTGCCATGAAATGCAATGCCAGGTAGCGGAGATATAAACTTTATAAAGGACACAAACACAAAGATTTCTTTTACTTAAAATAAAAACATCCCTGAAGCATCAGCACTCTTGCAATATTTTGTTTGTTTAACAGTCTCTGATAACTGACGCTTCTTGCTCTGAACTATTGCATCAAAATGTCTGTGCTGTAGCAGACTGGGCGGGGGAGGAGCCTCAGCCCAGTGCAGGGAGCAGAAGCTTGCCTATCTATCTCTCCTGAGCGATTGAGAGAGTCTGGGAAAGCAAGCTGTGACGCAGCAGCAGCAGTAGAACCGGAGGAAGAAGCAGGAGACAGCCAGTTCCTTGTGGGCCTGATAGAAGCCCTGGGGGGGGGGGGGGGGGGGATGCAAAGCCCTCCCCTGGGGGAAGCCCCAACAAATAGTACTTCTGGGCTGGGGGACAAATATCCTCGAGGATTTTTATTGCTCTGGTTGTTAACCTCTTCCCCCTCCCTTCAAACTGCAGGGCCGGAGACAAGCTCTTTCTACTTGATCAGTGCGCGAAGTATCGGCGTTGCTACCAGTGCAAGCGGCGCCTGAGTGGCTGTGGGGATGGCAACGAATGGACAGACAATAAATACGTCCCTGGCTCCCGGTTAATGGTTTGAAGAAACGTCACCTTTCCTGCTTCTTCCCTTGCCCGCTTTCGTCTTGTAAAAACTGGCCACGGCTGATGATTTGGTCCTCGCAACACCCGGTGGCCATTTCGGGCCACTTTCCAGCTTACGATTTTTGTCCTTCTATGTTTGGTTAAGTTTTTATGCAGAATTATGTTGAATTAAAAAGACTATGGAAGTTCACTGGGAACAACTTTCTTGCTTCAGTGCTAGATACGGAGTTAAATTATGGCCCCGATCACACGCAGAAGTTGCCGTGGGATACTCACGGATGCCGGGTGGGTTTTACAGGCACAGTCAAACGGGCACATCTGGCAAGCATCGCGCACCCGTAGCCAACCCGTCCTGTCCGGCCGAAGATCCGGAGTTAAAAGGTACCTGTGAAAATCCACTATCAAAAGCTTGCGACGGGCCGCAGACGGACCTCCTCCGTCTGATCGCTCCAGCACGCTCTTCTTGCTGCGTTGAAGCGCGCCGGAAACACACACCGCCAGAAACAACCCTGGTCCGCCGCCGCAGCGTCGAATCAGGTAGTGGCAGATTAAATTGCGGTGGCACAAATAGCCACGCCTCCCGTCACGTTATCTGGCCCGTGTGACCGGGGCCTATGTATGTTTTAAAAGGGATTTGGGGTTTTGGGGTGAGTTGTAGGGGTTGGTGTAATAAGGGGTGCCAACAGGGGTGCCAACCTCCAGGTGTGGCCTGAAGCTGTCCTGTGATTACATCTGGTCTCCAGGCTACAGAGATCAGTTCCCCCAGAGGAAAGCTGCCAACTGTGGACTCTAGGGTGTTGTATCACTTCTAGGGTCTCCAAACTCTGTCCTCCCCAAAACCCCACCCCCAATCTCCAGGAACTTCCCAAACCACAGTTGACAACTCGAGATGAACACTATTGTCTTGGCTCAGAAAGGATGGCTCCAGAGCAAACTAATTTACGCAGCAGCCAAATCGCTCACTCACAACTTTAATGTCAGTAGCTCACAAAGCAGAATTTTGGCTCACAGGACTCCACAGCTTAGAGGGAACACTGGTTGGGAGTTGTGAAGTAAAGGAAGCGCCGTATGGGGGCTGCACTGAAAATGGATCACCACATTCTGGGATTGTGCAAAAAAAGAAAAAGAAAAGAAAAAGCAAGCCAGAGTTCTCTCTGCTCCTTGAACGCAAGGCCTGGAAACCAGCTGGATGGGCAGCCGGCCAGTGAGAAGTGTTGACTGGGCTTGGAATCAGTGGTGTAAAAAAGAGAAATGGCGTGCCTCCTAATGGAGGCAGGGGACGGGGAACAGAGGGATTCCAGACTCTGGACAAAAAAGTCAGCGGAGAGAAATGGGCTAATTAGGCAAGGAGCCCGGGGCTTGTGCCAACCGGCTGCAGAATAATATTAGCAGTCCCTTTGTGAAGGAGTCTCATACCCTAAGAGCCAGAATACCGCAGCAGAGGATAGATCCACAGGTTCATTCCATTTTTCAAAATCTGAGGCACTCGGGGCACCACACGCCCTACTTTCAGCACCACAATGACCCTGTGAGGTAGGTTAGAAGAAGAAGAAGAGAAGAGAAGAAGAGATTGGATTTATACCCCGCCCTTCACTGGGAGTCTCAGAGCGGCTTACAAACTCCTTTCCCTTCCCCTCCCCACAACAGACACCCTGTGAGGTGGGTGGGGCTGAGAGAGCTCTTGACAGAAACTGCTCTTTTTCAAGGACAGCTGTGCCAGAGCTTGTGACTGACCCAAGGTCACATCAGCCGGTGCAAGTGGAGGAGTGGGGAATCAAACCCGGTTCTCCCAGATTAGAGTCCGCGCACTTAACCACTACACCAAACTGGCTCTCAGGGTGAGAGAGTGAGAGAGTGACTGCCCCAAAGATCACCCTTAAAACCACACCTTAAAAAGGATATTATAGCTTTGGAAAAAGTGCAGAAAAGGGCAACTTGAATGATAAAGGGGTTGGAACACTTTCCCTATGAGGAAAGGTTAAGGCGCTTAGGGCTCTTTAGCTTGGAGAAACGACGACTGAGGGGTGACATGATTGAGGTTTATAAGATTATGCATGGGAAAGAGCAGGTAGAGAAAGAGGTACTTTTCTCCCTTTCTCACAATACAAGAACCCACTAGTTCAATGATAATTAAAACTGGGAAACATGTTGATGCAAACGGAAAGATATATCTTCCATATCTACATGAGTGGAAGCATCCACAGTCTGATTTGATAGGACTGATTCAAGTTATGATTGTGGTGTTTGGAGCAGAACCTCCTGTCTTTTCTCGGCCTACTATTTCAGCATCTTATCCACCTTACCAGCAACAGGACCACCAAACACTTCCGACATGCCAGGTATGCCAAGTGGAATGTCTCCTTACCCCCCCAAGGACCACCTCCCAACTCAAGTGTTTATCCAGGCTATCCCTACCCTCCCCCTAGTGGACCATTTCCAGCGACAACTAGCACACAGCACTACCCTTCTCAGCCTCCTGTGACTACTATGGGTCCCAGCAGAGATGGCACAATTGGTGAAGATACTATTCGAGCTTCACTGATTTCGGCTGTCAGTGATAAGTTGAGATGGCGAATGAAAGAGGAAATGGACCGTGCTCAGGCAGAACTCAATGCCTTGAAGCGCACAGAAGAAGACCTGAAAAAGGGTCACCAAAAGCTTGAAGAGATGGTAACTCGCCTTGACCAGGAAGTGACTGAAGTTGACAAGAACATTGAACTTCTGAAGAAGAAAGATGAAGAGTTGAGTTCTGCCCTGGAAAAAATGGAAAGCCAGTCCGAAAACAATGACATCGATGAAGTTATTGTTCCGATGGCACCTCTCTATAAGCAGATCTTGAACTTGTATGCTGAGGAAAATGCCATTGAAGACACCATCTTTTACCTGGGTGAAGCACTGAGACGTGGAGTTATTGATCTAGATATCTTTCTAAAGCATGTTCGTCTCTTGTCTTGCAAGCAGTTTCAACTGAGAGCACTTATGCAGAAGGCCAGGAAGACTGCAGGACTCAGCGATCTCTACTGACCGTCACGGCTTGGGGGGAAAGTGGCGTTCAGAAACTGGTCATATTCTCATTTACTTTACTTTTTAATCAGTAGGTAGCCAGAATAAGTTATTACATTATTCAATTGTAAAATATTTTGAATGGATAATATATTTTCTTTTTTCTTGGTTAAGGACTAGCTTTTATTAATGCACTTTCTATTCTCTGTAAACCTTTTGCATTGGTAGTCTGATGGCTGAATAAAACTTGCATTGCTCTTAAACAGTGAATAGCTGTTAATCACTTAGCACCCAATAGACAAAAGGAGTAAAAAAAAAAAAGGCAACTGCTAGATTTCTTTTTGGATCCCGGTCAGCAAGTAAAAAGGTAACTAGGTCATTGGAATAAATGTCAGAATGAGCTTGCAAACACGGTGAAATACGAAGCGTACAAAGAACACTCCAGGAAGACAAGGGCTACTGTGTCGAACTTACTGACGTGTGGTTGGGGAATTTCACATTACCCTTTTAAAACCTTCATTGGGTGCAGTCAGACGGCATGCTGGGAGCGGTTTAAATTGCTCTGGCCCTGATGCGGTCTTTTTTAACCTGGAGAATTGTGATCACACTCATCTCCTTGCTCCGGATTGCTGCACAGCCACATTGCTCCGTGCCGTCCACACGCGGGAGCGTGCGTCGCTGTTGTTTCTCTCTCTCAGTTTGGGCATGCGCACAGGCAGCCATCCGTAAAACTACAATTTTCGCGCATGTGCAGAACAGCGATTTCCACTTCAACCCGACTGCTGTAACACTTCCCTTTAAACTTTAAAGGAACACTTCCCTTTAAACTTCCCCCAAAATGGCCTCTGTGAGATCCCGAACTTGTCTAAACGCTAAAACTAGGCACCGTTTAAACATTGTTTTTAATAACGCGGTGGCGGATCTCCGCCTGTGCGCACACTGCCAACGCTTAAAAAAAAAAACGGCGGGCGAAAAGCGGAAGCTTTGGGCAGCTTTCGAGTGGGGAGGGGGTTTAAAGCGGAAGTAGTTCGACACCAGAGGAGCGATCAGACGTCAGAAAAGTGCAGCTGGAACCAGAGAATCAGGAAAACACCACTTGGGGACCTGGTATCAAAATACTCCAGGTTAAAGCAGTTTTGAGCGGGAAAGCGACTGCTAGTGACGGGAGGCAGATTTTGACTGTGTGATCGTGCAGATAAAATCAGTTTCTGAGGCAGGCCGAAAGCGGACTAAACGGCCCATCTGAACGCACCCATTGTCCCGTCTTGGAATAAACCGGTACAGGGACGGCTGTTTCACACAGCCTTTCACCTACCGGTAAGGAGCCGTCTTTGAAGCGGTTTGTCATTTCAAACTTTGTTTCCCCGCCCTTTTTCGCCCGCGCAGGCATCTCCATCTTTTTTTAAAAAAAACATTCTTTTAAGAGCGCTATGGCACTGTAACGCGACCCCAAAGCAGCGCAATAGCGACCCCATTGGGATGCCTGGGCCACCGAGATACACGAGATCACTACATCTGCCACCTGGAAACAAGTATCTCATTGGATACAGAGTTCAAGTGGGAAATCAGGGCATCAGTGATTGGTGAGACAGACGTTGCTAACCCTTCCATGCCCGGTGTGAGTGACGGGAAGGTGATGGGTTGCCAGGTTGCCACTTGGAGAGAAGCTGCTCATTGGACAGCAGGTTTAGGAGGGAGATCAGGGCATCAGTGATTGGTGAGACAGATGTTGCTAACCCAGCCTGATGTGCATCCATCCATGCCAAGAGGCGATTGGCTGGGAAGTGACTGACACAAAGCTGGATCAGGTATAAATGGCAGGGAGGCAAACCCCTTATCTCTGTGGGTTGAAGCTGGTGAGTGGATTGTGCATGAGGCTACTGATGTATTAGTCATGGTCTCCATCAATACTTAGTTGCAACTGATCCCGGAGGTGGTGCAGATGATGATCAGCAGCACAGCAGCTTTGAGTGAGGTGCTTACGCACTTCCTTCATCTGTCTAAGAGGAGGAGGAGGGGGAGGAGAACTGACGTGCCTGTCTTGAGCCATGCACCCTCCAGGTACAATCGG